AGTATAGTGAGAATCAACCTTTAGGTAGGTTATACCCAAGGGTTATACCTATATTTATTTTTAAGCTGAATAAAAATACAGTATATCCCCGGATTGTCTTCAAAAGTGGAAAAACTTTTTTATTATTGACATTCTGGGAAAAATGTATTCTTCATAAAAAAATTTGCTTGTTCTAAAATGGTTAATTCCGTTTATTCTTTTTCAAATTTCCATATCGTTATAGAGAAAGTTGTTGAAAAAAAGACAAAAATATATTAGAATTTTTTCCTAGTCCTAAATATGTCCTAAAGTCCTAAAAACCAAGCGATTCTATGGTAATATAATTTGGTTTTCGTTCTTTGATGGATTGTGATTGATACAAATTTAATTAACGTCATATTTTTTACTGTTTTAAAACGTTAAAGAAGTACAAAATATATTATATTTTTTATTATATTTTTATTCAAAAACATTGTTCCATATAAAGACTATACCTACTCGTTTTGTTAATTTAAGCATAATTTTTTCTTCCCTTACAATGGTGTAAAAATTCAATATGGTGGCCATAATAACTTCACTGTTGCCCGAAATCTGGAGGGTCTAAGTAGTGAATATTTGCCAAAGGCTATATATTTCTCATAAATTGAAAAAAATCCTTTATGGGTATTTCGCCACTGCACTGCAAGAAAAATCTACAAAATAAACTAGTTATTTTTTGTAAACACTTCTGCGTTAAACCTAAACGGACACTGCTTGTCAGAAGTTATGTTTACAGTAATAAAAATTTGCCTAACGAAGAAAAAAATGCTTAACGTTTCGGAAAGTTTATCTCTTTCCGTCGTCGGAAAATAATGGGTTTTTTTGGTTTTACCTTATTAAATAATTGTTATCAGGTAGTAATTGTTAATTTTGAAGTTTAACTTGATATAATGTCATTTTAACAGAACGTCAATGGTTTCTTTTAGACGTATCTGTTTTAAAAAAAATAAAGTGTTGTGAAAAAAAAAGTAAAGTGTCAAATATTTTAAATAGTTTTTTCTTTATTCTTTGTATTTTTTTTTCTTCCGACGACGGAAAGAGATAAACTTTCCGAAACGTTAAGGTGCGTATTCATTATCCGCACGAACGAACGAACGTACGCTAGTGGTATGGACGGGGACCGCACGATAGGACCGCACGAGAAGACCGGAGGCATTTGTTGGCGAACGCCTTTGATGTACCGACTCGAAACGGATGGTCGAGCGAACGAACGAACGGCCGCATGCGTTCGGTCCCCGTCCAAATATACCGCACTTTCATTCGTTCGTTCGTTCGTTCGTTCGTTCGTTCGTTCGTTCGTTCGTTCGGATAATGAATACGCACCTTTAAGCGTTTTTTTCTTTGTTAGGCAAATTTTTATTACTGTAAACGTAACTTCTGACCACAGTTCTGACAAGCAGTGTCTGTTTACGTTTAACGCAGAAGTGTTTATAAAAAATAACTAGTTTATTTTGTAGATTTTTCTTGCAGTGCAGTGGCGAAAGACCCATAAAGGATTTTTTTTGGAGAGATGAATACGCCACATAGGTATAGACATTTTTTGCTACTAATTGAACCTGTAAAAAATATAAATAAAAATTCAAAAATACATTGAAGAAAAAACATTACTATTGAAGTTTACACAGATTCTTAACTAATTGTTATAGATAACTTTAGTATGATTTATAATCAAATAATTTAGTTTTCATATTTATCTTGGTGGTTCGTGATTTATTATTTCCTTCAGAGGTTAATAAAATTAATTAAATATTGCTTATAATAAAATTAACGCATTAAAATGTGACCAAAACGTTTCTTTGTGATTTTATTTTTCTAAACAATACTTAAATTATAAAAATTGTAGGACTTGCGACATTCATATAATAATACCAGGATATGTACATCCCGTCAAGTATACACTTTGGTGTAAAATACAAAAATTATTCATTATACTTAATAATATTTTTTGCAAAATAGCATTTTTTTCATACGTGTTGTGAAATCATGATTTTTATAATCAGAGAACGAATGATTATCGAAAAATTTCGGTATTTTTGCTATATTTGTATCTTTCTATGATTGAGACAAAATTCACTTATTAATCTACCCCCATATACAGTGGCGCATCCAGAGACTAAGTCTGGGAGGGGTAGTGGCAATATTTAAATAAAGTAATAGATTTAAATTAAATTTCCGCTCAAAAGTATTGTGACTATGGAAAAAAAAATAAACCGTTCTGGATTTCTATTTTGATTGATATTATTAATTTATTCTGTGATAATTTTATTTTATAGCAGATTTTCTTTTTATAAATTTCTTCTTGGGACGGGTAATTACCCCCATTACCCCTCTCATATATGCGCCTCTGCCCCTATAACTTTTTTTATATTTTCAGATAAAAAAAAACGAGACCTGGTATGCAATGTGTAGTGTGTAGTTTGGTGTGTTTTTAACACAGGTCATGGCACTCTAGATTGAGATTTAAAATACGTTTTTTTAAGCGAAAATGTCGAAAGTTGACATATGATATGTCATTCTATACGGAGTGTCATTTTTGTCGTTTAAAGTAAAAATATAACAAAGGTGCCATTTAAAAATCAAAAGTTGTAGTAATTTCCGGTGAAACAGGAAGTGACCAAAAACAATTGAATACGTCAATTAATCCTAATTTATGTGATATTATTAACACGCCAAATCTCGTTTTTTTATCTGAAAAAATAAAAAAGTTATAGGGCCACTTTGACACACACACACACACAATATAACAAAAATAGGAAAATTATTTTTACTTATATAGTAAATAGTAACCAATATTGATAATTCATTTTAAGAAAAAAATAGCCGTAGAAGAAATATAGGAAATATTACTATATAATTTACACAGTTAATCATTTCTGTAAGTTTCAAGGGTACCATTTGCCTCCATTGCACCATATCTATTATTTCATATTATCTACATATTTCAAAAGACCGGAGATCTTCCATTATTTGATATTAAATGTTGGCAATTTGTAACGGTGAAAATTGTATCTAAGATAATGTTCTAGGTTTTATCGCAGAATTTATGGCTTCAAAAATTAAAACTAGGTACCTAATAACAACAAGTGATATACACATGATATACATTTTTATTGAAAAATATAGTCCTCTTTAGGTTGGTGTTACAAAAGAATAAAATACGTAATATAGAGTATTATAATAGTCTAAATTGTAAGATAAAGTAAAAAAAACAGTGTCAAGTTGGCCTGAAAATGACGATCGATGAAATTCATTCTATAATTTTTCACATAAAAGGATAATTCTTCTTTTTGAATCCAACTATGATGCCGTTTTTTCTAAATATATATACATCAGGTGATAAAACTTACTTGAATTGGAAATACTTTTCGAATTTAAAAATATAGAAATGCTATATTATTATTTATATTGTTATTGAATTAATATTAATAAATTTTGTAGATGTTTTTGAAATATACTTCCTGTACGATGGTATAAAATTAAGATGTAAATAGTTAGTGTAATCAATTTGTAAGTTACCATTTTTGAATCTTAATAGGAAATTCTGTTACGTTATTATAAAAAGTTATCTTATTTTAATTAGAAAATATTGTTGGATTATTGGTTGGGATTGCGTGAAAATGGAAAAATTATTTTAAGACTTTAAACTAATAATAAAATAATAAACTTATTGTTGCTATTGTATTGTTAATTAACGTAACAATAATACAGGGTGGTTTATTGGTACTGGAAACATAGGAAATCCCATGCAAATTTTGAACTATCCAAATATTGGCCCCTTGTTGATTTTACAGCCAAGTCGTACATAGGTTTTTTTCTGCGTATGCTGAATATACACGTGCAAAATTTGAGTAATTTTTGATAAGCCATTTTCAACTAATTTAAGAAAAACTGCATCTATTTTTAGCCGACCATACCAACAGGTATGGTAGGCTATTAAGATCGACAAAAAAAAAGTTTTTTAATTTCACTCAAAATGAGTTATTTGGGTCATAAATGACCTAAATACAAAATATTTTCATGGTGTCTGTCTGTCTGTCTGTCTGTCCGTCTGTCTGTAACACGATAACTCAAAAACCGCTAAACCGATTTTAACCAAATTTGGCACAAAAATACTGTGGCACCCGAGAATCTGGCCATTAGTTTTTGGTGGGGGTGGGAGGTTGGTAAGGGGGTATGGGAGGGGGTTTAAATGTTAAAAAATCGTAACTCAAAAATTACAGTAGCGCAAAACGCGGTTTTTAACTTAAGTTTAGGAATAATATTTGCAACAAAATTTGTAATAACATCAAAATCAAAGTCGCAGTTTTTGAGATAAAAAAAAATTGGAAAAATTCCTTTACTTAGAAACTAAAAGAACTGCCTAGCAACTTTTTATTAACATATTTTAGTTTGGCGGTTATACGTGCCTCCCGGCGCCAATTTTTTTTTAAATTAAAACTGAGTGCAAAACCAGGAAAATACTAACATACCTTAAGTTGTCAATTTATGCTTTGGTGAATTGAAACAAGTTTTAAATTAAAAAAAATGCATTTCGGTGACTCTAATCGTAGGTACTATAGCGTAGTAGTGTAGACAGCACAAGAAATTACATTTGACTATGATAAAGGTTGAAAACTTAAGTTATGTTGCCATTTGCCTGGTTTTGTATTGTTGCCTGTTCAGTTTTAATTTAAAAATAGATTCAGTTTTAAATTAGTTCAAATCGGTTTGTCCAAAATTGTTCAAATTTGCAACGTGTATTCAGCATACGCTGAACTTTGAAAACCCTATTTCGACTTCGCTGTAAATTAACAAGGGAGCCAATATTTGGACAGTTCAAAATTTGCATGAGATTTCCTATGATTCCAACGACGCGACGGTGCACCACCCGGTATATAACATGCGGGATATCGTTGTTCTTCGTATTATGTTATTTAAATTAAAAATCAGGTTTGTGGTAGGTATATTTATAATTAAAACTACTTTTTGAAATTAAAACTTACCTTCTGAAAAAAGGACGACACCAAAGAACTATATTATGTAAAACTGGCAGCTTTTTTTACCGGACGACAACGAGAATATAGTACTTTTACTTTTTAGTGAAAATCACGTACTGGTGCGTTCATGCGACCAGAACAAAACATCAAAGATGCAACCGACCTAACAACGTGTTATATTATGAATTACTATTGCTATAACAACAATAACAGCGTTCAGTTTCAGCGGGTCCGGCTATGTTATGCTTGGGGAAGTCCGACTGCATTAATACCCTGCTGAACGGCGACAATATTGAGCAGTGAGTGGAGTGGAGTAAATGACCCTTTTTAGGGAGCAATTGCGGCGAATAAGGAATACGATGGGTGTTTTTATCCTTATTTCTAAGGGTAATTTCCATGTGGAAAGATTTCTTGGTGGAGGGGATAGACATACAGTTGGTGCAATTCTCGGTAAAGAGTGGTTTATTTCATTTCCATATTTTCCATTATTGTTGTTATTATACTGTATGTATTCCGGAAACTTCGGCAGCATATCTTGCAGATAAAAATAAGTAAAAAAGTTCGTATAAATGTATGTTTTAAAATACTTAGTTTTGGAGATACAGGGTGTAGAAGTTTCATTTTTATCTCGATTTTCTTCAGATAATTTCTGAAGTAACGTCAATATTTGGATGAAAATTGGTGTCTGGAAGTTTTTTGACACGAGAAATTTGATTTTGATGAGTCAATATGACTCATATTTGTAGGGGACGCCACCTGCATATGTTTTAACTGTTTTGAAGAGTAATAACTTTTCGTCTGTACATGTATAAAACTAGCGAGTGAAAAAATATTAATTTCCGTGATTTTTTACGTTAAAAATGTCTCTTGGTAAAAATCGCTATGAGCAACCGTTCTCAAGATTTAGAATGGAAATAGTCAATTCATGTCATTACATTGACAAAAGATAAACAACGTTGAGTAGATAGGTAGTTTTTTTCTTTGACTGAAATAATAAATTTCGGATTTTTTTTAAATTGATCATAAATTTTTCTGTGAAAAAATGATAATAAAACAGTTTTTGTTAAACTTTTGGTACAGAAACATTTCAAATTTATGATTTCATTCTAATAACTATTTAGTCAACATGTTTAATTTATGTCAATCATGACAGGTTTTGATAATTTCGATTCCAAATTTCGCGAGAACCATTACTCGTAGCGATTTTTACCAAGAGACCTTTTTTACGTAAAAAACATCGTAAATGTATTTTTTTTACTCAGTAGTTTTATACAGGTACAAACTAACCATTATTACTCTTCAAACCAGTTAAAAAATGTACGTGGCACTCTCTACAAGTAGGAGTCATATTGACATCAAATCAAATTTTGATTTTGCCCAGGCACCAATTTTCATCCAAATATTGAGGTTACTTCATAAATTATTTGGAAAAAATGGAAATAAAAGTAAAACTTCTACAGCCTGTATTTCCGAAATTAAGCATTTTAGGACATATATTTATACGAACTTTTTTACTTATTTTTATCTACAGAATTATGCTGCCAAAGTTTCCGGAATACAGTTCGGATCACCCTGTATAGAATCAAGGCGATCTTCATTTCATAGTTATCACCGTCGCCGGAAAATTGCTGTGATTTTATATGTAAAACTAGGTATATGGGAAATGTCATTTGATGTTGATTTCCAAGCCCACTGGACGCCGTTTTCTTTGATCATATGGTATTATATTCACTATACGGGTGTCCCAGAAATAAGTGCAAATATTTTAAGGGGTGGTAGATCTCCATAAAAGAAACATATTTTCCCTTCATCGTTTTTTAAATAAGTCCAAAATAACGGAGTTATTTTACTTTGAAAATTTCCAAAAAGATTTTTTGCTAAAATTTTGAAACCGCTGGATCTTTTCTAGATATTCTTTCTTATAAATTTAATCTACTACCTATGTTGCCATATTATCAAGAAATTACGTTTTTTAAATAAAAACTGAAAAAAATTTCAAAAAAATTTCAAAAAATTCCGAATTTTATTTTTTTTTGCGAAAAAACCCTCATAGGCGTGTTTCTGGGGTTGAACACTACGAGTTAAAATACTTGCACTTATTTCTGGGACACCCTGTATACTAAGAATCAGGGCTGTAACAAGTCAGTTTCAAAAAGACTTAAATCTTAAATATATATATATATATATATATATATATATATATATATATATATATATATATATATATATATATATATATATATATATATATATATATATATATATATATATTCAAACAGGTGTCTTGGGGATGCAGTCTAATAAGAAGGCCGTTAGTTCAAGGAAAAACCCTTCATTGTTTAGTCAAGCTTTCGAGAATTCAGTTGTTCTCTTCTTCAGGACTCTTCAAAGTGGGATTATGGTAAAGTTTACAACATTGCTCAACAATCAAAAAGAATCCTCATTTCTCAAATGCAGTAGTAAAATCAACTTTTAAAATACACGTGAAAACTAACTACAAAAAACTTTATAAAAACAATACAACGTGTATGTGAGTACAAAGTCAAAGCACGAAAATTGCATGTCAAAAATCTTAAAATACAATAGCAATTAATTCTGCTTCATGAACGATCTAATTATTTTATTGTAAATACTTAGAAGACAAAAGAAACGAATTAATTTTCAAGATTTTCTTTACAGTAAAGTGCGTTTTTTTAGCACCGCCGATCGTTCACTTGGACCGGAGTGAACGATCGGCGGTGCTAACAGAAACGCACTTTACTGTAAAGAAAATCTTGAAAATTAATTCGTTTCTTTTGTCGTTCACTTGGACCGGAGTGAACGATCGGCGGTGCTAACAGAAACGCACTTTACTGTAAAGAAAATCTTGAAAATTAATTCGTTTCTTTTGTCTTTTAAGTATTTACAATAAAATAATTAGATCGTTCATGAAGCAGAATTAATTGCCATTGTATTTTAAGATTTTTGACATGCAATTTTCGTGCTTTGACTTTGTACTCACATACACGTTGTATTGTTTTTTATAAAGTTTTTGTAGTTAATTTTCACGTGTATTTTAAAAGTTGATTTTTCCACTGCATTTGAGAAATGAGGATCTCTTTGATTGTTGAGCAAATGTTGTCCTAATCCGCCTTATAAGAGTCCTTGTGGAAGACTGGTCAACAATGAATTTCACGGAAAGTTTGACACAAACCATGTTTAATGGGTTTTTCCTTGAAGGTAATTTTCTGTACCACGTTACTGTCCTGAGGACACCTGAATAAATATTTTCTCAACTTGTCAATTAACAAAGTGTATTAATTCTTTGTCAAACCCTTCCGACTATATATATACTATATATATATATATATATATACTATCAGTCGATATATATATATATATATATATATATATATATATATATATATATATATATATATATATATATATATATATATATATATATATATATATATATAAATCATTCTAAAATCAAAATTCATTCAAGACATTTTTAAAATCAAAATGATTGAATTTTTAAGTCATTTTCAACATAAAGTCTTTCATTGAAATCGGTTTCTTTCAAGTCAAGTCATTTTCGTAAAGACTTAAATTAATATAATGTAAATATAATAAGTCTATATTTTTTATTTAAAGCAAGGCGATCTGCGAGTTCGGCAAAAAAAGTCGGCAAAATCACAAATCAAAACAATTATTGCCGTCAAGTCACCACTGCCAAGCATCAATTTAAGTAGCAACCGGTACCTACCATATGATCCAAAAAACGACGTCAGCGATGGCTATGAAATGAGGATTGCTGTCATTTTAATTGTAAAATTAAGTAAAATTATATAGGGAATGCTGACATTCCCTATATAATTTTACTTAATTTTTACTGTTCATTTCCTAGCCAACTGGACGCGGTTTTTTTCGATCATACGGTATTTTTTTTACGTTAATATAAATTCTTGTATTATCGATTACCGAATTTCCTTTATTATTTAATTTATTGTACAAATGGGACTAAAATCACTAAAACAACATAAAATAAGACGGGTTAAATAGATTACTGAATATCTTCTTTTTTGGTCCTTGTTGCTAGAACATGATGGCTAGAACTGCTCTTGAGATTTGTAATAATTGTCTAAACATTTACATGTTGGTCACGTTTGGGTTCATGTTTAATAGGAAACTTGTTAAATATTAGACTCGGATATACCTGGAGAAATCCGGACGTCTGGAAACAAACGGTTCCGAACTGTTGTTGTGGAAACCCTATTTATAATAAAGTACAATTACTTTGTTTATTGATAAAACAATAGAAGCATTAACTGGATAAAACTTTGAAACCCAATTAAATTAGGATTCTCTGTTAATTTATTTTAACCCGCTTTTTGCGGATATCACTGGTTGCAGAATTTACTCGGATATGCATAGATTTGGTAACAGCTGACAATGACAACCACTTGACAACCATAACATAAACATAACCTGATGTAGAGTTAAGCTAAGAGTAATTTTAATGTTTACAAGTACAATTTAGTTAAGAATGTAAATTAAAATAATTCTACAGTGTAATTTTATTATTGTTTCCGTTCTATTTTTAAGTTTTTTTTGGTTTGAGTATTCCTAAATCTGTATAATATAATGGTTTCTATATCAGTACAAAATTTCTCCAACTTTCTAAAAAACAAACCTCCTTTGGTTGTTTTTCTATTATGTTTAATTATATTGGCTGCATCCACCTCATATTTTGCATTTCAAATTGAAAAAGATAAGCCTATAGTTGATAGTGATAAGAAACTTGTTAGTATCTGACCATAGAAATCTGCATATTTTTAGCCGTTCAATTTTAGGATTGGATAAATATGGTAAAACATTTCAATAAAGTTGATATATGCATTAGTCCAATAAAGGGGGAAAATGAGACTAACCCAATTAAGGAGGGTGGTAGTGACACTGAAGATCAAATTTCAGTGTTTACATCAGTTGAAATTATTGAATTTGATGTTTTCAACTCATTTTCTGAGGTCTATGGTTTTTTAACTTTAGATGGTAAGTATGCATGTAATACTGATATAATGTTACACAAACCTTTTTTTATAAAATTCAATTATACATATTTTTTTAAATCAGATTGGTACTCTGTCTCTTGTCAAGATAGCAAGCAGCCCAAAAATATGACCATTTTATTTAGCATTCCTGAATTCAAGTCAGTCGATGGTTCTCAAAATCTCTGTGTTACAGTTAAAGGTCCAGCACAATACTTGCCTTATTTTAAAAAATCAGCTTGTACTCCTCAAAACAGTTCTAACCAAAATAAGGTTTGTATTTTTTTTTTGTACAGAAATGTATTGTATGATCAAAAAAAAAGAACGGCATCCTGTTGGCTTGGAAATGAACATCACTGACAATTCCTGTATAATTTTACATATAAAATGACAGTGATCTTCATTTCATAGTTTTTTTTTCGATCATACTGTATCTGATTCCTTTATATTTCAGGGTAATATAGGATTTTTGAGTTCAAAATTACCAAAAAATTCAAATCAATTGTTTTGTGAAGATGGAAAAATTGCCAAAATTGTATTTGACTTACAACACGAAGAAATTTCAAACTACTTGAGTGATGTATGAGTATAGTAAATAAAAAAAAAATATCAAAAAATTTAAAATTTATTTATTTTCAGGATGTCCGGACACAAATATATTTACATTTAGTGTGGTGTACCTATTTTCTAATTTTTGTCATTTTTATATTCCTTCTATATATTCTAATCAAAAAATCAGATTACCTAGAAAAGAAAGAACAACTTGTACATAATGTTAGACTTCTATAGGCAAAACAGTTATTGCATCACATTTGTGAAGTTGAACTGTGAAAGAAACTGAAAAACTGTTGAACTGTGAAGGAAAGCAATATGTAATATATATTTTTCATAAATAAACATCATGAAGTTCCTAATTTATGACATTTTATGGCTTTTTATTTAAATAAAAATATCACCAATGTACAATACTTATTACACTGTTTTTGAATCAACACAAAAAAAATTGGCGCCGGGAGGCACGTATAGCCGCCCATACTAAAATATATTAATAAAAAGTTGGTAGGCAGTCCTTTTAGTTTCAAAGTAAAGGAATTTTTCCAATTTTTTTTATTTCAAAAACTGCGACTTTGACTGATTTTGACGTTATTACAAATTTTGTTGCAAATATTATTCCTAATCTTAAATTGAAAACCGCGTTTCGCTAGCTACTGTAATTTTGGAGTTACGATTTTTTAAAATTTTTAACCTCTTCCCATACCCCCTTACCAACCCCCCACCCCCACCAAAAACTAATGGCCAGATTCTCGGGTGCCACAGTATTTTTGTGCCAAATTTGGTTAAAATCGGTTTAGCGGTTTTTGAGTTATCGTTTTACAGACAGACGGACAGACAGACAGACACCATGAAAATATTTCGTATTTAGGTCATTTATGACCCAAATAACTCATTTTGAGTGAAATTAAAAAACTTTTTTTTGCCGATCTTAATAGCCTACTATACCAACCTGTTGCTATGGTCGGCTAAAAATGGTAGGCAGAGATGGGAGAAAATATGAAAACCAAAAAAATATTGTCTTCTACTGCTTTTGTTCATTATGAGAGACAAACATAGAGTGAATACGTTTAATAACGACCATTTATCTTGTTTAGTCCAATTACTTATTGACCCTATGACTTGATAACATTTTTAAGAATTGAAATGCGTTTGAAAAACATTCATTAAGTTTATGTATTATTTTGCAAGATATGGTTTGATTTTGGTCACTGCTTTACAAAGTATGTTGAAGTTAATATGGAAGTGAATAACAACACTTTATTTTTCCACAATGTTTTAGTTTTTATATTATTTTTGCAAGTTTTATCTGTAAGTAAAATATTTATATTTACATTATTATAATAAGGAATTATAAACTGTTTCTCATTATTGTACTAGTAATTATAACTAACAATATAATTTTAGATTTATGTACCAAATGAAATTGAGCTTACATCCAAGCCTTATACTACTGGTTTAAAAATTAAAACACTTTATAAATCGTATTCTCAACCTTATTATCATACAAATTACAGTAAAGTGTATGTGCATAATAAAAATTATACTTCCAGTATTCTCGACACATTAGAAGCTCCTAAGAGGTAAGACATTCTTATTAATGATTGGTTACAAGAACTAGTTATAAATATGTAGTTTACATATTGTATTATTAATACATATGTAGTATTAATTGTTTATATAAGTACCTATACTGAATGATTTCATCAATTAAAGTTAACTATAAATCGAAATAAAATTTAAAAGTATTTTGGGTAGGTAATGTATCTGTAGCTATACATATGAATATTTACTAAATGCATACTCACAAACAACAATTATTATAATGTCTGTATGCAAAGATTATACAGAACAGTAACAATATTTTTTTAGTTATGGAACTGTTCACCCAGTTTATATTTCAGAGGATAAAAAAGAAAAAATACAGAATATTCTTAAAGACCATAACACTAATATTGTCGACAAGGATACCCTAAATGAAAGAGTTGTTTATAAAAGAAGAGTACTAAAGCAGAAGAATGTTCAAGTGTTTAATAAGTATGAAAATAATCTGCATATTGCAATAAAAACAGGCAGCATTTTGCTTTATGTTTTAGATGTCCAAAAGATTTAACTGGGCAATTTGTTTATGATCTATCCTGCAATCAATATTTAGATTGTTGGAATGGAAGAGGCGGACCAAGAAATTGCGCACCTGGAACACTGTTTAATCCTAAAACATTAGAGTGCGATTATCCAGAAAAAGTGGAATGTTTAACAGGTTTGTGATCAAAACTTGTAGTTCTTTTTTGGCATAACAAAAATATTTAAAGGATATATCGGGTGCCTCTTAAAAATGGCTGACCCCTATCAGCAAAAAACGAGATTTGGTTTGTTAGTATATGACATAAATTAGGATTGATTGACGTATTCAGTTATTTTTGGTCACTTCCTGTTTCACCGGAAATGACCACAACTTTTGAATTTTAAATGGCTCCCTCGGTATTTTTTTAATTTATTCGATAGAAAATGACACACTGAATAGAATGACATATCATATGTAAATTTTTGACATTCCCGCTTAAAAATAAATCGTGTTTTAAATTTCAATCTAGAGTGCCATGCATGTGTTAAAAATGATAATTTTTAATAAAAGAGCCTTGGAAAAATAGATTTAATCGTCTACTGTTTTTCGTGTCTTGTTCTGGCTGGTTAAAAGATGCCCAAATCGTATTTTTAATCCTATTTCAATTTTTTCAAATGGAAGGAGGGTGGCTCATTAGCATATTTTGGAAAAATCATTTTTTACTAATAATTAGGTACCAAACGCTTGGTATTTTGAGTCAAATTGTCGTTACATTTGACTTTGTAGGGAACCATCAAATTCAAAAGTTTTATAGGAAAAGTTCTTATTTAAAGGATCTACTTTCTTTCGCACTTTTTTATTTACCTCCTTTATATTACATTTGATATTTAAACATTTTTTAGGACCAAGTGGAAGCACTCTTACATTACAAAAAACTGCAAAATATGAAACACCTGAACAAGCCAAATGTCCTGATGGTTTTAGTGGTTTGATTCCCAATTATAGCGATTGTGCAAAATTTATCGAATGTAATAATGGAATACAAACTTCAAAGGACTGCCCGCCAGGCACATTATTTGATAGTAATCAAAATGTTTGTAATCACCCTGGACAATCAACTTGCTTTTCTAAAAAAGGAGGTTTTGAGTATGGAGTAAAGGAAGAGTTTGGTGGTAGTACTGACATTCGCTCACCAAATTATGGTTATGGAGGAAATACGTACACAAATCAGCAACAAAAAGGATATTATCCCGCTCACAGTTCTTACACGTACGAACAACAGCAAAGTTCTAAGATTTGTGATCCAACAAACCCATACTGTAAAACTGGGGGCTATGTTGTTTCTGGTCAAAATATTTATACATATCCAGATAATAAAAAATATTATACTCCAGATGCAACGACTAATAATGGGGTAAATAATGGTAATATAACAATTTGTAATCCGAATACTCAGGGGTGTACTCAATTTAGTTCTTTAAGTCCATGTAACAATGAGAATTGTGATCAAGGTACCGGTTCCTCATATAACGAATGGTCCACGGCTGGTCCTCTTAGCGGCACTGTTTATATGCAATATATTATGTGTAATCCAGCTGTTGAGGATTGTTCCAGTTCCAATTTTGTACAAGGAACATTTGTAATGGGACCACAGGGTTCTTTATGCAACCCAGTTAAGCAAAATTGTCACCCTTTCCCTTATATCCCCACTACATATATGAATCTCAATAAAAATGGGGCAAATAAACAGACACATTTACCTGGAGCTTACTACATAAAATATGTGGTTTGCAATCCGCAGCAGGAGAACTGTTCTCAGTTTCGAGACGGAATTATAGAAGCAGCTTATGGAAGACCTTATTCTACAGGATCTTCTAGTTCCAATGTAGCTTCTGGATGTGATCCAAATATTCATAATTGCGACACTGGAATTGCCGAAACAGCTTATGGAAGGCCATCTTTTTCTCCAGGACATTCCAGTTCTAATATGGCTTCTGGATGTGATCCAAATATTCATAATTGTGACACTGTTTCTTATCAAAATCCCCAGAGTCAAGATTGCAACATTCCCAATAAAAATTATAGGTGTAGACAAGGGGACCAAAGATGCTGCGAACAAAAAACTAAAACACAGAAATCTCTGAACGAGGGAGCACACAATAAGCCAAAATGTCCTGATGGTTTTCAAGGTATTACTAAGCATCCGACAGATTGCAAAAAGTTTTTGAATTGCGCGAATGGCATTACCTATGTTCAAGATTGTGGTCCAGGAACACTGTTTAATCCAATCATTTTAACTTGTGATTTTCCCTATAACGTTGATTGTAAAGATGGAGATGTTACTACTACTCCATCCTATGAAGATACCAGTAAGTAATTGAAAAGGCACATTTTCAAATATATCTAGATCATTTTTAAATTTCTAGCACAATATTATTCTAATTATGACCACACAGTTACAAATAATTTTAATCCAAATTGCCAGGGATATGGATGTCGAGATCAACAGAATTATGCTAATATTGGCGGTTCTAATGCTTGTCAAGGAAATCATTGTCAGAGTGGTTTACCAGGGAATATGCAAGGGCAAGGTCAATATTATCCAGCATATAGTGAGTTTGGAGTCAGTGGAAGCACTGACACTGGTACATCAGATTACTTATCAAATGGTAAGAAATACATTTAAGGCACTATATTAAGTAGTGGCTGAGTTGGTAATCTAGAAAAATGTAATCTAATTAATATCAAATACAGGGTGTTTCAAAAAATGTACCATCTCTCATGAGGGGATTCCCCACTTAAAAATAAGATTTATTTTTTATATATTGGCTTTTTTCTCTTGTTATCAAATTTATGTAGGCCGTTTAATGCTAATTAAAATTTGTATCTTGATATTTTGCCGATTTCGATCTCCTTGATGAGATAAACGCAATTTTATTAATCACAATTAACAAAATTAAAATAAAATTAATAAGTTATTTTTTTAATCTGATTTATTATTAAATTTTATTACAATTTATAACATTGATGTTCAGTCCTATCTACAGCAAATTTAAGAAAAATAATGGTATTTAAGATAATTACACCTTGGCTAGTTAATGACATTAAACATTTTTAAAGGTTGCTATTAGATTTGGTTTAAGACACATTAAGAAATTTGAGTTTATTTCACCCAGGAGACCGAAATCGACAAAATATCAAGACAACTTTTAATTGGCATTAAACGGTCCACATAACTTTGCTAACAAGGGAAAAGAGTCAGTAGCGCATATTATTTTTTCAGAAAAATATTCTAGGGATAACCCATATGCACGTCTCTGGTAATATGTCGACACTTTTTTAGCATTTAAATATGACGCACTTCTAGTAACTTTGCCCTGAAAATTTCATTTGAATCGCTAAAAGTAATTGGAAGAAAATTATAATAAATCGACAAAAATGAAGACCTATGTTGATATAAAAAATAAATCTTATTTTTACGGGAGGAATCTCCCCACGAGAGATGGCACACGTTTTTTGAAACACCCTGTATAAAGTAAAATTGTATAAATGATCAAAAAGTAATACGATTAAGCTTGTTTTAACAGGCTTAGAGGAGATTACATTAGATTTCCTAAAAATACTTCTGGGTTTTTCGTCAGCAGAAGAAAATCTACAAAATAAAAAAGTTATTTTTTATTTTGTAAATTCACTTTTCACGCAAGACAGAAGTCTTTACAAGAAACGAACTCGCCACAAAGGTATAGATATTATTTACATTTGATTTATTTTAAATGTCAAAATGTAAGTCGGCTTGGTCTAAAAATTCTAAATTTTAGGATATTACTTTGTTCCTATTTTAAGTAAAAAATAATTTGTATCTGTATTTTTAGATAATTAAATCTATGTTTTCAATTACAGGTTTTAGTTCTCAAAGTCAACATACAAAATCGACTAATTGCCAGGGTATTCAGTGCCAAAGTAGTTTTGGTGCCCAAGGAAATCTCGGTTATATAGGAAATTCAGGCTATTCGTCACAAGGTGAGGTAGATAAACTCTCAAAACAAAAGATACTCAATGAAAAAAATCTTACATATTATGGCACAGACACAACTGTCTGACGCACGAACATGCTTAGTAGGCGTTGCCAGACTTATGAGCGTTGCCGGTAGAGATGGGTTGTTATTTAACTATCTGTTATTTTACAACAGTTATTTGGAAATAACACAACGCAACCGTTGCTACTTCTAAAAAATAACAGATATAAAATAACGACACGTAGATATCGACCACTCGTGAAACGAAGTCGGCGCTCTGCATCGCCACGAAATCCTATGCCGCTCAAAGCAATTCCAAAAAAAACTAGTATGAAAAATCTGTTATTTCACCAACTATCGATAACGGGCGACGCACCGACAGTCGAAACACAACGGCGAACGTTGCTGCATCGGTCGATGGGTATGCAGCAGCTTAAAAATAACAGTATATAAAATAAGCAGCTTTTTTAAAACAGTTGCAACTGTTGCGGGCATAACGCCTGGCGGTCGAGATAACCGGAGTGGAAAAGTAACGCTGCTGCATCGATCGATTGTCGATGATGGCCCGCAACAGGTTGGAGAATTACGTATTGAAAATAAGCAGTTATTTTAGATACATTGTTTTTTAACCTGTTACGAGCATAACGGGCGGCAGCGGTCGAGATAAGCGGAGTTGGAAAATAATAGCTTTTTCGCCTGTGTGGGTCGATCGCGGTGTACGGTGGCGTTAGAATTCAATTATTTAATTTTTAATACATATTTTTTTGCGTAAAATAGTTTGAAACTGGTTTTATTTTGTCGGATTTCTGGGTATTTTTTGGCATTAATAATGCATGGCAAATAAAAATAATTATTAATTATAACTGAATTAAAGAAAATTGTCTTGATTAAGCTTGTGTATTAGAATCGTTTTGAGCAAGTTTATTTTACTATTTTGCTTTCTGCAAATTTATTTTTATATATTTATTTACATCTTAAAGTTTTTGTTTTGTCAGTTTCAGATTAGGTTTTAGAACTTAGTTACTATGTTTCAGTTACTTATTTTTTTTATTAATATTTTTAAATATGTACTTTCATAGTTTTTGCTACGTTTTAAAAACTTTTCAAAGACAATTTTACTTGCCTGTTACCAATAACGATATCAAGAAATTTTATTGTGAATGATGATTAGAAATTTAGTTATTAAATGAATTAGAACTTTGGTGAGTAAAAATATTTAGTGCTTTTCAACTACATACTTAAATAAATAAAAACTGTCTAAGATCATTATTTTTTTTAATTAGTAATGTTGATTTTTTTTAATAATTATTTTCTTAATTACTAATAATATAATAAACATATTCTAAAAATTAAAACAGAGTTTAATTTGCTTATAAATTTGATATTTTAAGTACCTACATTATTTTTTATTAAGAAATGAATATGAAGATTTTTATGATTTTACTACAATTTGGACAATGCATATGATATTTTAGGTGTTTAACATTAAAGTCAAAAAATAACAGAAACTTGTTATTTTAAGCTGTTATATATAACAGTAACAGTTTCAACTGTTAATTAAAAATAACGGTTTTGCCCACCACTAGTTGCCGATCATATGCCGATTTTTCGAGAGCGTTGCCTGACTTATATACCGATCCCGGTATATGACTAGTTGACAGACAGAGAGATAAAATAAAAAGCGGCATACAGTGTTGCCGGTTCGTACGTGAAATAACATAATAAACGAAGATAATATAAACTATTTTATACGACGACGTCTTGCTTATGGTGTGTGAGATACGTGTCGACTAAAATTGCTATATGTACTGATTAGTTTTGAAGCAGCCGGCGCCCCTGGATATTTACTTTCTTAAGTTATTTCTATTTATGTTTACATTGTTAAAATATTTTATATCTTAGGATCAATTAATAGTGGTAATCAGAACTGTCAAGGCACTGGTTGTTCTTCAAATCGTGGTAATCGAAATTATGCTATAAGTAATCAGGATCAAATCGCCCCTTGTCAAGGATACCTGTGTGATACTAACAATTCTCAGGATATTAATCAGAACAGGAGAAATTATGTCCAAAATAAAGGTAACTTATTTATGGAAATATTTTTTTACTTTATTTTTACTGTGTTTTTAAAGGATCTATAAATACTCCTGATAAAAATGCCTGTCAAGGATACCAATGCATCACTAACCAGGGTCAGAATATTAACCAAAGACCGAATGTTAATCAAAACAAAAATATAGATGATCATAGTCGTATAAATCCAGAGCAGGCCTCTGCTGGCGTACAAACTGGTATAAATGGTATTGTTTATTTTTTAATTACTAGTTAAATATATTTTTAATACACTCAAATGCAAAAAAACACAACGGAAAAATTTTTGGTCTATTTTCATGAATTTTTTAGCGAGCTGTATATAATTATGTCAACTTTAATTCGTAAACTCAGTTCTTTATAAACTTTAGTATTTTGCATATTATACAGGGTTAATCGAGGAGTTGTTTTTTTACCTTAACCTTAAAACACCCTGTGCAATAATTTTTTTGGTAAGATGCTCTTAATATACCTTATAGAACCTATGCAATCGCGAAAATCGTCTAGCCGTATAGTGCATATTTTCGGCAACATACTAACAGAGAATAAATAATTAGCTTTTTGTAAAAGATGCACAAAATACTGCTTAGGATATATGTATCCAGCTAGTTGTATTTAACATTATTTTGGTTTAAATTTAAGAACACCTAAAGAAATCATACATTTAACGGTTAAAAAAGAATAGGAAAACATAAAGCAATATGATATATGCAGCCTCAATGACAGTATGAACGGACATATAAAGGCAGTTATAGCAGCCATGGGAGGCAATACAAAGTATTAGAGTATTTTTTACAATTGTTTTTCTATTTGTAGGCTTGAGTATTAAAGATGTTACAGATATCGTTAGTTCTGTTATCGTTATTAATCTTTATTAAAACTGGGACAATTAAATGTAGTATAGAATATCCAATGCGGCGTAATACGGCAATATAGTCACCAAAACCATCTCGTCATATTAAAATATTACACATCATTACATCAAAAAGTAATGCTAATTGAAAAAAATTACAAATTGATCGTGATTAAAAATTAACCAAAGCATGTATTGACATGAATACAAAATGCTCAGGAGTCATGGCTCTGATCGAAAAATTATATTTTAGGAAAATTTACAAACAAAATTATTGCACAGGGTATTTCAAAGTTAGGGTAAAAAACAACCCCTCAATTAACCCTGTATTATATGCCAAATACTAAAGTTTATAAGAAACTCGGTTTACGAATTAAAGTTGATAATAATTATACAGCTTACTAAAAAATTGATCAAAATAGGGCTAAAAATAACAAAAATATAACACTTTAAATTTGACCAAATATTTCTAAGTTGCATTTTTTGCATCTGAGTATACACTATCGGACAAAAGTAGAGCAACACTTCAAGAAATATTTGCAAATCGCGATTTTTTAATTATTCATGCATGATAATGTATACAAATACAATAAATTTAAAAACTACGAAGTACGCTATGAGTATCCATGACAACAAGAATTTTTACTAACAAAACAAATGAAGTTATTTTGACATTTAGTTTTAAATGCTTAATAGTAACGCGTCAAAAGTAGAGCAACATTCAGATACTTCATTCCAAAGAAGGGTTTTAGCAAAAGTAAAGCCCAAAATAATTCTGCGAGGTTTATTTTATGTTTTTTTAAACATCTGTATGCTGGATTAGTCATGCCAAGAGTAATTCCAATTTCAAAAGATTTGAAGCAAAGAGTTGTGAATGCATTCATGGAAGGTAACAAACAAGCCGATATTTCAAGACAGTTTGTGTTACCCCAGTACAGTGTGTATCTAAAATACTTTTATCATATAATAACAGGGGACACTTAGAAAAGTTGCCAAAATCGGGAAGGCCAAAGAAAACAACAGTAATGACCGACAGACGCATCAAAAGAATTGCTAAAAATGATCCTTGGAAGTCCGCACCTAGAATTATTGCCGAAATTACGGTTGGTATACGAACAGTACAAAGAAGATTAATAGATGCGAAGTTATTTAGTAGACGTCCAGCCAACAAGTCGTTAGTTTCGGAAAGAAATAGAGCAGCAACGTTGGCATTCGCACGTCGGCATTTATACTGGACCGTCAATGACTGGAAAAAAGTTTTCTTCAGTGATGAAACGCGCTACAAAATATTCAATTCTGATGGAATGAGACGTGTGAGGCGACCAATCAATCCGAGGTTTAATCCTAAATGCGTAACACCTACAATTAAGCATGGTAAAGGCAGTGTATTTTTATGGGGTTATTTCTCATGGAATGGGATAGGCTCTATATACACTTTATTTATGACACGATGGATCGATTTGTTTATAGGGATATCATGCAGAAGGTCATGCTTCCTTATGCAGAATGGGAAATGCCACTGCGTTTTATTTTCCAACAGGACAACGATCCAAAACACTCTTCACAAGTTGTTCAACAGTGGTTTAGGGAAAATGACGTTCGAGTTTTGCAATGGCCAGCACAATCCCCAGACCTTAACCCCATCGAAAATCTCTGGGAAGAAGTAGAACGTCGTATTCGTACCCAAATGTTTCCAAATAAACAATCCTTGATAGATAAAATTAACGAAGTTTGGACAAATTTTCCCGAAAATGTCATTCAGAAGTTGATTGCTTCAATGCCGCGCCGTTGTCAGCAAGTTATTAATAATAATGGATATTCTATCAATTACTAATGTATGACTTTCAATTATTATTGTTCTTAAATGTGTTAAATATTTTTTGTTGAAATAAGACACAATAAAATTTGTTGAATACAATTTGTTGTTCTATTTTTGTCGCCCCCATTCTTATCAACTTTTATAATCAATATTATTTACCATTTTTAAACTGATTAAAAGTACACCAAAATAGTACTAGTACTAAAATAGTACTATAGTAATAGTGTAAGGATAGTGTTTTAGTAAACATAGCCGAAAATCACAACCTAATAATTTTTTTTATTCAAACATGAATAAAAATGAACTTTGTTTCTCTACTTTTGTCCGATAGTGTATATTAAAATTTAGGTTACAGAAGAGATAATGAAAACAGCCATATAATGAAGATACCTTCAAAGAATAGTGGGTACCAATCAGTTACACCAGTGAACAAACTTGATAGAGTGACTTACGGAGGATTCAATAATGAAAAATCTCCGGATTATGTTGATATTTTCAGTCCGGATGAAACCAGGAACTTTGTTTATGCTACAAGCACTCAAAAGCCCACAAATAAACCAGAAAAAGCTGCATGGGCTCCTTCTTTTAACGATTTATTTAGCACTGACGTAAATGCCGATTATGTTTTTGAATATGAAGATGGCGAACCGGTTACATTAGCTCCAGAAAATGTGAAAATTGATAAAAAGATAAAATCTAGATGCGAAGATAACGATTTTGTTTGCGATAAGAGAACGTGTATTTCTAAAAATTTTGTTTGTGATGGAGAGAGGGTAAGAAATGACAATATCACGCTGGCAACCAAATACAAGGTGTCCCAGAAATAAATGCAAGTATTTTAACTGGTAGTACAGTTCAACCCCAGAAACACGCCTATGAGTTTTTTTTTGGCGAGAAATCATTTTTGGATTTTTTTTTAGTTTTTAGTTAAAAAACATAATTTCTTGATAATATGGCACCATAGGTAGTAGGATAATTTACAAGAAAGAAAATCCAGAAAAGATCCAGAGGTTCTCAAAATTTGAGCAAAAAAAATTTTTTTTTTGGTCATTTTGAAAGTAAAATTATTAAGTTATTTTGGACTTATTTGAAAAACGATAAAGAGAAAATATGATTATTTTATCGATCTACCACCCCTTAAAATACTTCCACTTATTTCTGGGACACCCTGTATATTATAATACTATATTGCTAGTAAGGAACAGAAATTGAAGCCAAATTTTTGAGATGCAATATAGTCTTATAATATATTTGCTAGCAACTCTTAGTTTTGGGTCGGCATTTACATGTGTAGAAGTGAATCCCTTAAAAATCTTATTAAGTCGGAGTGAGAGAAATGCGACGATGTGTTGTTGCGGCGTTGCCACAACAACTACTGTAGAAATGCACTTATTTTCAAAGTATTTTTCGGAAAGATATTTACTTAAAATCATTAGACATGTATCTGGGCATCTGAAATCGAGTTATAAGAATATCGTTAGGGTAATGAAAAAATGTTAGTAATCGCGGTAATTTGAACATTTAACTTTTTAACACATAACACGCCATAACTCAAAACTACTTTAGATATTGAAACGTTCTTATTTTTATTTTGAAGTTCGGATCTTTGAGAATATGTTTAAATGAGAAAAGTTTCACAGGTTTGTTTCTGCTGCCTTATTCCCTTCCATGTCTTTTAGCAATGTGCACAGTTACTCGATTTTTTTCATACTGAACTTTTGGCAACGTTTTTACTCATGATATAATAACGGAAAGATAAGATCTTTGGCGGTCGCAAATCTGTTCTCCGCGCGCATGACGTCACCCGGGTAGTAATTTTCTGCTGTAATAATTAAGCTCCGCACACTACATGCTTAATATCTTATCTTTCCGTTATTGTATCATGGTTTTTACTATTCTCTGTTCAGTATATTATAAATGCACTGTACTCTTCTTACATACGGAAATCTCGACCCAAACATATCGCTTGCCGACCCTAGTATATATTTAATATTTATGTTTAATGCGTTTTTGAACACTTTTAGGATTGTAGTGATGGAAAGGATGAAAAACACTGCCAGAAGTATTTAAACGATTTTAAGCCATATAAAAACTCAAGACTTGATGTGTTAGAAAAACAGAGATGGGATAATGTTAGTCATGCGACTTGCGCCTTACTTTGTGCGGATAGTGTACAATTTGAGTGTAAATCATTTAATTACCGGTAATATTTCTAAGTTATATATTTAAACTTCTGTTTAAAAAAAATAAGGTCTTCTTGCGTCTATTTGTATTTTTTATTTATTTTTGTTTTGTTTTTTATCTTTATGTTTAAGATGCCCGGTGGCGTAGAGAGGCTCTCGTCAACTAATCTCAAGGCTGTGGGTTCGAATCCTACACCCGGCATTTCATCAGCCGACTATTTTTATTAAAACAAAAATAGTTTGGGTACCTAGGTCGACTCAGCCTTAAATGAGTACTTGGGATTCACAATCCTGATATACTAATAGGCGGTTGAAGCGTAGTGCTAGCCACATTACCTTCCTTGTATACCGAACGGCTCTAGCATGGCAAGCTGTACCTTGCTACTCCTAAGGCGTTAAACGCTATATACGGGAGCTATTATTATTCGTTTGCGCACGTATTTTTGTACGGTATAATATGTAAGAAACGGCGGTGATGCAAGTTTCTAACACTCTATTGGTTTGTTAAAGATTGAGGTGTCGTCTTACTATTGCTGCTGTTTGAAGAACGACAGCCTTCTGGAGTTGTATATAGAGTAACGGTGGAAGATCTAACTTTTTTAAACTATGGTGGAGAGCCTTTGGTATTACGCCCGTTGATGAAATTATAATGGGTACGATATTCACTTCGTTTTGCTTCCATAAACTTTAACTTGTTCAGCTAGTGCGGTATATTTACTTTAACTTCTCACCCATGTAGACTGCAGATTATGGGTGTTAGGAATCCCGACATCTATAAGGTGTTAATGCCCTCTCTTTATGGTGAATGTTAGATCTGGTCGGTTATGCGGAGTTGTTTTGTCAGTAAGTATACTTCTGTTCCAGTAGAGTTTAAAGTGGGCATTTTCTAACACATTTTCAGGTTCATATCTGTAATAAGGTGTAATATCTTCTTTTAAATGACAAAGGGTTGCTAACTTTGATGAATGATTTTCGCTACTTGGTCGTAAGTGTCTTTGGAGGTAGGAGGTTGGCGCTAGCACTGACATCCAGCTGTCACGTGCTGGATAGTTTCACCAGGTTCATGACATCTTCGGCATTGATCTACTACATTCGGCTCTTTTAGGATGAATTTTCTGTAGTTCCTCGTAGCTATGACCTGGTCCTGGATTGATAACATAAAACCTTCGGTTTCGAGGAACAAATCCGCCTGAGATAACCATTTGTTCGACGCATCTTGATCTACATAAGTTTGGTTAAGCTCATGCGGAAATCTCCCATGCAGTACTTTCGAGTCCACTCCTCGACTTTCTCTCGTTCGTAGATTACATCCGATGGGAGCCTGATGTCAACGGCATGTTGAAGATCTAAAGGGGTGTGTTTGTTATCTGCTCTCACCACTGCTCGGTGAAGACCTGATGCCTGGTGCAGGAAGCGCATTGTTGAAGACCATAGATTTGTTTGGCGTGTAGAAACCTTAAATCAATTAGACCTCTCCCACCTTTTATTGCGTGTGGGAGGGTTAATCTCTCAACTGCTGCCTTAGGATGATGCGCCCTAAATTTTGTTAGTGTAGTTCGCGTTTTGATCTGGATATTTTCAAGTTCTGTTTTCGTCCATTTTATAGTCCCAAAAGTATGAGATTATCGGAATTGCGTAGCTGTTGATAGCCGTAAATGTATGTTTTTTCCATTTAATTTAGACTTAAGTATATTCGTCAGTCTACTAATATATATAGAGGTGATTTTCTCTTTAATATCTTTTGTGCTGTAAGCGTTTACCTTTGAGCTAGTCCAAGATATTTATATGGGTCTCATGTTCTTCCAAGGATCTGATGATATCTCCATCACCTAAGTCGAATCCACTAGATATTATTCTACCTTGCTTTATATTAAGTAGCTTACATTTGTCCAAACCCAAAGGACATTTGGATATCTTTAGAGAAAGTCTCTTTGTAATTTCAAGAAGGTGTTGAAGTTGTTTTTCATTCCCTGCAAACAATTTATAATGTCGTCCATGTACATCAAGTGACTGATAACATGATGTTGAGTCTTGTCATTACTTTATATGGAATCCGTAGCCGGTCTTATTCAGAATCGAAGACAGGGGGTTTAGTGCCAGACAAAACCATAAAGGGCTTAAGCTGTCACCCTGGAAAATACCCCTTTGGACACTAATCGGTTGTGATATGACTATTCCCTTTGGTTTTGATTAATTTCTAGAACTGTATTCCACGTAGACATTAAATGTTGAAGCATATTTATAATTTTATGGTCAATCTTATATATCTGTAGTACTTTCAGGAGCCAGGAGTGCGGTACCGAATCAAAGGCTTTTTTATAATCGATAAATGCCGTGTAGATATTTTGTCGTTTGTTAGCTGCTTGCTCAAGTATTACTGAGTCTATTATGAGCTGTTCCTTGCATCCTTGAGATTTTTTATCCTATTATTATTATTATTATGATTATTATCTACAACATCACGTTTAAAAACGGCCAATTATATTCTAATTAATTTTCGCCGGAAGTATACCATACTTCTAAGGCGAAACTTGTCTTTTTAATAAATGGTCTTTCTTACAATGTGAGCTGTTTTGAGCAATACTGTTTTCTGCAGTTGGTAAAGATTGTGTTGTCCAGGTAACTCTTCTACGATCTTCTGTATGGACTTTGATACCAATCCAGTTGCTCCAATTATTACAGGAATGATTTTCGCGCGCATATTCCAGAGTCTTTGTATCTCAATTTCAAGATCACGGTACTTTATCCTTTTTTCTGCCTCTTTCTGAATTAGATTGTAGTCAGATGGTATTGCTACATCTATGATGAAACACACGTTTGTTTTCTTATCTTTTATAATAATATCTGGTTTGTTCGCTAGAATAGTTCGATCCGTCTGAACTTGGATGTCCCATAACACGGTGACATCTTGAGAGTCCTCTACTGGTTTTGGCTTATGATGGTACCATTGTTCCTCTGTCGGGAGGTTGTGGTATTTACAAATATTCCAATGCAGGTGACTCGCTACTGCATTATGCCTTTCCAGATATTCTTTCTTGGCAAGAATAGGACATGAGGAAACAATATGGTGGACGGTTTCTTATTCAGTTCTGCATAGCCTACATTTAGGGTCTTGTAGTGTTTTAGTTATTTTTGTTTTAAAACAAATAGTAGCTAATGCCTGATTTTGACAAGCTGTAATAAGGGCTTCAGTTTCGGGTTTCAAATCTCCGCGTTTCAGCCAGTTCCACGACATTTCTTTGTCGACATGTTCCTTTTTCGATTCCCTCAGTATTTGTCCATGCATTCTTTTATCTTGCCATTTGTTTAAAGTGTCCCTAACAATTCTGCTTTTGGTTTTCTTTTTTGCGTCTTTTACTCTTTTAGTTTTCATTTTTAGTGGGTCAGTTGCCCCTACTTTTTCTTCTTCTGGCAGTTTTCTCAATATTTCTTCGATCCTTTGTTCTTCATGCTGATATACGAACTTCATGAATTTATCGTTTTGTTGTTTCTTCAGCAATATGTAGTTCACTAATCCCACTGATGTTAGGTAAATGAGTGATTCAGTCTGCACTAATCCTCTTCCTCCTTCATTACGAGGAGCATAAATCCGGTCTATGTCCGCTCTGGGGTGTAACATTCCATGTATTGCCATCAGTTTTCTTGTTTTAGTATCTAATTTTCTCACTTCCTCTTTTGTCCATTTGACTATCCCTATGCTATATTGTATAACAGGTACTGCCAAACTGGTTACTGCCAAGCATTTGTTTCTCGAACTTAGTTCCGTTTTTAAGATAGCTCTGACCCTTCTGCAATACTCTGTTTTAATTTTTTTATTATTATTATTATTATTATCTTTATGTTTGTCGAACTTGTTAACAAGTTAAAAAGGTGGTGTTTTCGGTACAATAGTGCTACTGAACATACTCTTTTTTTATCCATTATTTTTGTGTTATGTTTTATCTATATCTGAAGGCATATGGATGACTATTTATACACCTCTTGGTATTTTGTCGAACCCACGTCGTTTATCAATTTAAACAATTCTGATTCTAGACAGAATAATGTACCTGATGGCACGATTCATCCACATCTGTAGACATGGATGGCTTCTTTTATACTGTACCAGCTGTATACGCAACGTAGAGATCTAGTTCCCCACGTGTTAAACAATAATTAATAACTGTTTGCTGTTTGTATTTTTTAATGGCAGTTAACAATTGATAAATATACTACATTAGGTACAGTACGTCTGTCCGTTCTGTAGCTACGGGGTATCCGTGAGAGGGGAAACGATATTCTCTCGATGTTTTTCGTAAAAAATTAGACGACGCGTCCCATCAATAAAAATTCGACAAATTTGCAAGTAGCCAATAAAATGAGTGGGCGGAGCGATTTGCGGTGACGTACTCGTCAAGTCGACGTATAAAATATATTGTTGTTTATTTAAATGTTTTTTGTCCGCATTCCTTTCATAGACACAGATCCAGCAGACGTACTGTACACTAGCACATACTCGTATAGTCTACCTATGTAGAATGTAGAATGTTTAGGAGGGCGTTTCTTGTTCAGTATTATTAACATCTAAATTATTAGATATTAATATATCTGGTATTATGGTATTCTGGTATATTGTCGATTTTAAAATAATATTGTTTCTATCTTATTTTTTTATTATAATTGGCATAATTAAGAGGGCTATTGATACCCTGTTATAACAACAAGGTAATTAAGTGCTTATTTTTTCGTATTTACTATAATTTTGCTAATATCTTCGGTTTGAAAGAAGATATGAAGATGCGGTTTTCGCTGACTTTTTAAGCTTTTATTATTCTTTACGATCAGCTAAAATAACATATACTATCGCATTTAATTTTTTTTGAAAAAACGCGCAATGTTTGTTAAATTATAAGACAGCGCCCCCTAGCGTCTACTTTCAAAAGCTTCTTATTATTATTTTTATGGTGTAATATAGAGTAAGTAAAGCTCTTTTAAACGAGTTCTCGCTTATTGGATTCTGATCATCCAGTCCGGAGTTATTTACATTTCAATAGAAACAGATCTAACTTTTCCCCACCGCTTTATTTTAGCAGGTAGGGGAAAATGGCTCTAACAAAATAAATCCAAAATTGACTAAGATTATGAAGCTATTATTTATAGTACCCCTTACCTAGGTAAAATTTTGTAAAAATTATATTTTCTTATTTTCCATAGCAGTTGCGCCCTCTAGCGGCCGTTCTACAAACTTGAAAGTAATTTTCAGCAATTTCTCATAGCCTCTTTAGTTATAAATATTTTTTTCCGTAGGCACTAAGGCTAATACAGCCGAGAGCTATTCTTAGTGGGACATCTTATACCCTCTTGTCTTTTAACCCTTATTTTTTTTCTAAGAAATCGATAATCACTCTATTTTGTAGGTGCATAACATAATAATATATCTAAAATTGACTTATTTTTTAGACGTATAGATAGATCTTGCTTCTTAACAAACGAAAATATAGGCGGAACTGGGGCACTGAAAAACTATTATCCTTGCGACTACTATGAAAGAAAAAGTACGTCTGTTGACTGTACCGATATACATAAGTGTCCCTCTGGCAAATGCTTGACTAGCGATCAAGTATGTGATGGGTAATATGATGATATAGAAATTTGAAAGATAAGTTTTAAGTGCTCAATATTATAGATATAATGACTGTGGAGATGGAGCTGACGAGAAGGATTGTCGCGCTTCTGATTTTGGTTATGAGGTGAAATTAGTGGGAGGAAAAGAGAAACATGAAGGTCGTGTTGAAGTAACAGGTACTATGATCTGCTGTGATCTGTGATAGTTAAAATGTAGTGTTATAATAAATTCGGAACTTTATACTTTTTATTAATTCACCCACTTTATAGTTGCAGAAAATTTTAACTTCGGAAATTTTAGAGCGATTATTTGTCTATACATATTGTAATCGCAAAACATTTTCGGATGCATGTCATCGATCATATAGACATTGACACTAAAGTCTATAAACCTGACTAAATGAAATTTTGGCAAAAATGTTTAAATTTGTTGTATAATTTAAGATACCGAGCAGCTCTTCATTTTACTTTACAGAGCAAATGATTGTAACAGATAGTTTATTTAGATTAAAGCTGCAAAAATTAGTTTAAACCGAATGTTATTATCGCTATATTGGTTATACTGCGCCGTTTTCAACAAGGTTGTCGTTTATTATTTTACAATTATCCTAATGTCAAGTCATTATTTTGTATAATACTGTGTTTTTGAATCTTTGGTGAGTAATTCTCTTTTTTTTGCCTATTTTCATAGTCTTTTTTTAAAAAATTGTACTTTTAATTACAAACAGTTATTTTAAGAACTAAATATTCGAGTTTATATATTGCATTTCTTGAAGTTGTGTGTTGAAAAAATGCCGAAGCATTTAAACAGTCGAAGCAAAGAGCTTGTAGCTTCCCTGATAAACTATTTTGAACGAGAACGTGACAATAAAGGTCCTTTATTACCTTTGACTGCAGTCAGAGAAGTAAGTTTGATTGATAAGCACATTACACCACTTTCAAAGTTATTTCTACGTTAGTTTTTATTAAATTCTATGATTATTAGTTTGTGCATTAATAACACTCTCTCTTACTTGTTATTTCCACTTATGGCGTTGTAAGATGTACATCAATAAATTAATAAATAAATAACCCATAATAACGCTTAGAATAATGTATCTTCATAATGGACTAGTTTTTGCCTTATATGTGATAAGTAAAATAAAGTATAAAACAAATAAGTCAATTAATTACTAAAATATTAGTTACTAAATTACAAATATCAAAAAATGATATAATAAATATATTGTTTGTCACTTTTAAATTAATATTCATCTCATATATCTATCACAATCTGGCAGCGGTGTCGCCATCGCTTGTCACTCAAAGTTGATCACGTGCATCGGAAATTGTTTTGCGATTACCATATGTGGTCATTACTCCATTTTTTCGAAATTTATTTTTTTATTATGATATTATCTGATTAAGTACAATCTTTATCCATTCAATATAATGAGTACAAAAGAAAACTTAAAATAACTGTTACTTAAGTATGTAATTACTACACTGTTTACTTAAGTATGTAATTTAAATTTTTAGTGTTTGGCATAACGGGATATATTTGTGATGATCAGTTTAAAACCACAGATGCCAATGTGCTTTGCAAAGAACTAGGTTTCCCACTTGGCGTTGCTGAAGTTAAAGGTAAATTATTTACATAATATTTTAATTATACAGGTTAAAATATGCTCATAGATTAAAGAAACAAGTTTAAATTGGAAAGTGCCCATAAGGACAATGTGAATAGTATTTGGCGCTATTCTGACAACGGTCGATCTCCAAACTTTCTGATAATTTCGGAGCGGTTCGGCTTTTCCGGAATTATGTCGCCAAATATTACTTATTTAAATTTATTATTATTTTCTTTTAATTTTTTAAATAAAATACAGTGTGTTGCATATAAGAAACTTTATTTTATGTAAGGATATGTATGAAATACCTATGAAACATTGGAAACCGACGTTATGCCACGATCCACGATGGTTTTTGCAGTTCACAGTTCACACAGTTTTTTAAGTTTTTAATACTGCTTTTTCACAATTATCGCGGGTCTGAGTAAATAAAATTTAAATTAAACTCACAAGATATATATAGCAATAATTACTTTCAAAAAAGAAGCTTTAAACACTTTTCGGTATTTTTTCAACGAGGGGGTTTAAATCTTGAAAAATTTTATAATTTTTGAAGACTCTGACTTAACAACTAAAACATCCTTCATTCATTAAAATTAAGTAGAAAACAGGATATATAGCCCCTTTTCACAATATAGTATACATTTTCTTTATGCTTTTATCACTGTGTTTTTTAAAGGTAACTCATATTTTGCGAAAGATATCGAAGAAAATAATACTCTATACATGATGGATGACATTGAATGTATAGGAAAAGAGACTAGTCTTATGCACTGTAAATTTGCTGGTTGGGGTATACATAACTGCGGTGATCATGAGGCAAGTTTTATGTGCAATATTAATTTGTTTGAATACACTTTTTTGTAAAATTGGCAGATTGCTGGAGTTATTTGCAGGATACCCCAAGAGCAATGTCAAGAAGGGTATTGGAAATGCGATACAAGAAATGAATGTGTAAAATTGCCATTTGTGTGCGATGGATTGGATGACTGTAGTGATAATTCAGACGAAGCTAGTTATCATTGTGATGTAGGTTTTGTATTATTAATATTGTGATACGTTAAATTTATATTAACTTAATTTTACGTAGGCACCTATATCATTTAGGTTAGTAAACGGTAGTAAAGATAGCGAAGGTCGTTTAGAAGTTAGACACAATGATATATGGGGATCGGTTTGCGATGATGATTTCAATGAAGATGCGGCAAAGATAATTTGCCAAAACTTGGGATATAGAGGATCAGCTTATGTAAAGAAAGATGCTTACTTTGGAAGAAGTAAATATATTCAAATATATACATTTCCTATTCTATTATTTGTTATATTAGGTGACGGACCTATATGGCTTGACCAAGTTTCATGTTTTGGCAACGAAACATCTATTGAAAAATGTGCTCATTGGGATTGGGGTGAACATAATTGTGATCATTCAGAAGATGTAGGAATAGTTTGTAGTAACGAGATTAACCAAGTTGAAGAAAGAAAGAGTCGTAAAAAATCGGTTTCTCAGAGTATTAATATGAATTGTAAGTGTCAGCAATTCCAGGTATTGTTATAGTCTAAGAGGGAGCAACGTTTTCGAGAAATTATTTTAAGACGTCTCGCTCCTTGCTATATCTTTTACTATGCTCTCTGGAACAGCATGCGGCCCGTCTGGCTGCCGATACCCGTTGCGTTCACTACTGCGCATTGAAAGAAGATTCTATGTTTTTATTAGTTCTTTAAATTCTAGTATTGAATATAAATCGAACATGTCTTCATAGCGCAGTGCGTACAGTTTCCGACCACGAACCGATAATTTAGAGTTCGAATCCGGGTCAGGTCAAAGACTTTTTTTATTTTATTTTCGTTTATATTCTGATAGTAAAGTATTAAATAATTCTGGTAATTAAAAAAAAAAACAAATATCTAATACTTTACTATCAGAATATAAACGAAAATAAAATAAAAAAGTCGTTGTCCTGACCACGATTCGAACTCTGAATCATCGGTTCGTGGTCAGAAACTCTACGCACTGCGCTATGGAGACATGTTCGATTTATATTCAATACTAGAATTTAAAGGACTAATAAAAATATAGGATATTATTTCAGTGCGCAGTAGGGAACGCAACGTTTACCAGCAGCCACACGGGCCGCATGCTGTTCTAGAGAGCATAGTAAAAGATATATCAAAGAGCCAGACGTCTTAAAATACTTGTTTTTCCGACGTCGCTAGCTCTCGTACTATTAGTTTACTAATTAGTTGAATATTAGATGGTAATCAACAGTCACTTACACCAAAACAATGTGGATACAGAAATGACAACATATTCTTGCAAGGTGGCGATATCCATTTTAGAGTAGTTCAAGGATCCGTTGCAAAACCAGGGGAATATCCTTGGCAAGTATGTAAAGGTTGTATCTAAATTATATTAGATAAAAATTTTAACATTTTCAGGCTTCACTAAGGATAAACAGCCATGGCAAGTCAGCTCATTGGTGTGGTGCAGTGGTAATATCATCTAAATGGGTACTAACTGCTGCTCACTGCTTGGAAGGTTATCCTAAAGGAGCATATGTAATAGTTGCAGGGGAATATAACATAGATGAAGACGAAGGTTTGGGAAAACAAAATAAAAATTACTCTTCATTACTCTTAGTAATTTTTAGGTACTGAACAACAAGTTTATATAGAAGAATATTATTTGCATGACCATTTTCGAGAGGGGCATAAAATGGGTAATGACATTGCTATGATAAAATTGAAGGGTAATGGTTTTAATTTGAACCAAGATATACAACCAATATGTTTACCGGACGAGGCTTCCGATTATGAACGGGAATTGAATTGTACGATTTCTGGTTTTGGTACAATACAAACTGGAAAATCTGGTAATATTAATATTTAGTTTTTGTTAGCGGTTTTATTAAAGTTCTTTTCTGCGTAGCTTATTCACATAAACTTAGAGCGGCTTGGATACCAATACAAAAATTTGATGTCTGTAAAATGGCGCATATATATGGTTCAGCTATTACTGAAGGGATGATATGTGCAGGCGATCTAACTGGCGGTATTGATGCATGCGATGGAGATAGCGGGGGACCTCTGGCCTGTTTGGATAATGGTAAGAAATTTGTTTATTAAATTAATACATAATTAGTAAGCTAATTTATTTATGGTTAGGTTTATAACAGTAAGAGCCAGACACATATGATTTGTAAGAATTTCACCAAAAATACTGATAATTCTATAAACTTGCAGATTTTGATGACTCTAAGCTATTTAAATTTGACCATATAACTTTAGGAATAATTGGTGTTGATAGTGTTAGATGTTAAAGTAAACACTCTTTCATTTCCAATTATGGTATGCCTCCCTCACATATTTCGAAAATTTCTTTGTAGTTGGGTCCATTATTGTCTATTGTTGACTATGCGGGCCCAAGTTATCATTCCTAATAATAATAATAGCTCCCGTATATAGCGTTTGGCGCCTTGGGAGTAGCAAGTTACAGCTTTCCATACTAGAGCCGTTCTAGCCAGGATTGTGAATCCCAAGTACTCATTTAAGGCTGAGTCGACCTAGGTACCCAAACTATTTTTATTTTAATAAAAATAGTCGGCTGATGAAATGCCGGGTGTGGGATTCGAACCCACTACCTTGAGATTGGTAGACGAGAGCCTGTACCTCTGCGCCACCGGGCACCATCATTCCTAATTTCCTAATATCATGGCCCCATCTCAGTTTGGTCTTCTTTAGGTCTCTTAATTTTGCGTGGGTACCATGCTGTAATTTTTGTGGTCCTCCTGTCAAGGTGTCCTACCCATTGCCACTTGAGGGATTTGATTCTGTGGATTACATTATTACCTGGGTCTTTTGTCGTGTCCACTCTATTCTTTTACGGTCTTTCTTGGTTATTCCCAGCATATTTCGTTCCATTGAGCGTTGTGCGACCTGCAGTTTCCTTATAATATCCGTTTTAAGTGTCCAGGTTTCGCATGACTTGTAGTACACATTGGTCGAATGTTTTCTTCTTTAGATAAAGTGGCATTCTATATTTGAATATGATTGAGTTTCTTCCATAAGTACTCCATGCTAACTTAATTCTTTGATTTCAAAGGATTGCTTTCAAAAGATTTCCTGGAATTCTTTGATTTTTGATTTCTGGTAGTAGAGATCCCGAGCTGTGTATTAGTTGTCTCAAATATAAATATTCTACTATTTTCAGTATTGTGTTATTTAGTAGAATGTCTTTTCTGTCTACTAGTTCGTTGTACATTACTTTAGTTTTTGCTAAATTCTTACTATAAAATATGTATATGTTATATTATTTCAGGGGTGTTTACTCTATATGGTTTAACATCATGGGGACAAAGATGTGGATATGCAAACAAGCCTGGAGTATATGTGAAAGTATCTTTTTATAAAAAATGGATAGACAAAATTATGGAATTACATTCATAGATACTTTATTTTTAATAATATGAAATATGGTATTAGTATTTTAGTGGACGAGTTATATGGATGTGTAATATTTATATATCTTAACAAATATATGTATATAACTTTTTGTATTATATTAAAATATAAATAATTTAACCCTATTCAGATCGAATGTGGATTTTGAACAGCAAATTCTTACTTTTGATTCATTTAATTGAAAAAGCTTTCTTACTAATGATAATTTTGGTCTAATTTTATATGTTATAGATACTAACTCAAATATACTAACGCGGGATTGTCATATTTTAAAAATTAAATTTTGAGTCTGTAGATTTACATTTTTAAGTTCCAAAAAAAACAAGCAATATATTTATAAATCATTATTTCCATATTTATGCATTCAGAAATTGTGCCAAATGCAATAAAAATTTTCCATTGTTTTTGCAACAAATTATTCTTGCAAGGTCGGCTGAGAATTTTTCCTATTTAGATGTGGACTTCCTGGAAAACACAATATTAATAAGCACGCTGAACAATATCGGTACCTAGCTAATTTTAATTACAGTATTTGTAGAGTTGCCGCATCTAAAGATGGGACTGGCCAGTGTTATCAACGTTTTTCCTGGTGAACCTTTTTTTTGGCGGTAAACAGTGCCAAATAATTTCGCAATATAGGCTTGGTGTATCGTAAACGTAAACAACTAGTCTATATATCTCCATATCTATTGGCTTAGAAAAATTAAAAATACCTACCAAGAAAAAAATAAAAAGAAATTTATCATTACAGCAAAATTGCGACAAATCCAATACATTTTTTGCGACATTTTTGTCTCATTTCTGTTTTGTTTCAAAATTCGGAGACTTTTTAATGTCCTGTCTCGAGTCGGTAAAGATCAAAGTATCTATGTTTTGTTCGTATATTTTACGACAAGCCAAGTGCAAAAAAACATTCTTTTTGACTAGGATATATCTTGATATTTTCTTAAATAATGGTTGATACGGTAATGTTCAAACAATTCGAAGAGATAAAATTCTTGATACAAAGCAGCAAACAAGAGCTAAGAGAAGATATTAAAACAGTCAGAGAAGATTTAGCGATACAAACAGAAGCTTTAAAAGAGACTTGGAAAAGCAGGGTTCAAATAATAGAAAAACTAGCTAGAAATAATAATCTAATAATCTTTGGCCTACTGAACAATCGAAACTTAAAGGACATTGAGCTAGCTGCCTGGGTAACAGAGCAATTAAAAACTCTTTTAGGAATAGATGTATATTTAAGTGACATAAATAATATATATTTTCTAGGTAACGACTCAAACAAGCCGTTGTCCACAGTCCGGAGCCAAACAGTCCGGAGCCCACCGAGAACGCTGTCTTCTCTCTGTCTTTCGGCGCCATGTCGACTTGCCAATATCCACTCTTCAGATCTAACGTAGAGAATATCGTTGACCCCGCCAGCGTGTCTAGAGTATCGTCTATCCTCGGCAGGGGATAACTATCCTTCTTGGTAACATTATTGAGCTGCCGTACGTAAAGAAAGAAACCCTTATAATCGTCAACGAGAGTTTTAGCTACGAACAGCTAGTGGAGAGAGGGCATAAAGAAAACGACTCAGACAACGAAGTATTTACTGACGTTCCATCAACACCTTCCTTGAGTGCCCCGGGTACATCTGTATACGATCCACCAGTTGAGGCGCCTAGATGCAAAACCAGATATTTCCAATTTTCTGATTTTTGCTGTAAATGTATGGATATTTTTATTTTCATAAAAATGCATCGATTAGAAGCATAACCAACATTCAAAATAAGTTATTTCGCATACCAAATCTTGGATAAATATTTCTCTGAAGTTCAAAGCAAGATATATACTGTTACGTTTTTCGTCGGTTCCGTGTTAGGTTAGGTCGAGTCCACACCGGCCCGCAACAATACAATGATATAAAACACGCCAAATGCAGATATATCCAGCAACGTACAAAATCAGATATTATCCATACGATATCCATGCGGAATATTATATAATAACCAAAATCAGTTATATCCGTGGTACGGTTACGTCGTTGCTGGCTAACTCTGTATTATTAGTTTTATTGTAAACAGTGTGGTGAGAAGACTTTGTCGTTCAATATTCAAAGTGTTTTTAGTGTGTTTGTTTTATTATAATTAGGAATATGACTGCCCCGACAGAAAGAACCCCTTATTTAGCTCGAAAGAAAGTTAAAAATGACCAAAATATGGAGCATCTGCTGTCATGCATAAGATGCCCTCATACATGTACCCTTGAAAATTTATGGAACGCCGATGAAAATGCTTTAGACGTCGCCCGGTACTGGGCTAAAGAATTTTAAATTATAATTGTACATTATGTACCTATATGGTCCGGATACGAAAAAGAAAAAAGAAAGAAAGACAAAGAGCTTTAAATGCTTTCAGTTATCTAATCTTGACGTAACTCAATTTCATGCAAAATTTTACAAGTCTCGCATCAAGAAGGATCAAGATGCATATATCTTCAAACTCTGCACCATAAGGGTTCCTAAGAGAAGACGTCCACCGAAAAATAAGCGAGATAGGTTGAGAAGCAAAATTCAAAATCAGATATTTTATGTTCTCAATTTTAAAATCAGATATATTCATTTTGTTTATCGAGTTAAAATCTCTAAAATATAATTCTACGATTTTCAAGAAAATATCAACAAAAATCATATTCTAACCCCTGATACAAACAATTCAGGGAAAAATTGAAAATTGTGAAAACGACAGATTTTTGCGGTTTTCTCAATTTCAGTTATGACGGATATATCTGATTTTGCATCTAGGCGCCTCAGTTCAATCTAGTGGTATCGAGCGCAACAAGCTAGAATCAAACCATCCGAGCCAAACAATACGATTGAATTCACCGTTGTTTCAAGGACATCCAGTGCGGAAGCGCGAAGGGTATAAGGAATAGTAATACAGCATCTCTACAATCATCCAGTAAGGTACAAAGACCGTCAACTAGGAGCCACCCGAAACCTTAGTATAGTAATCAGAAGATCCATCTAGTGAAAAAAAAATGACAAAAATGTGCGTGAAGAGGTAACATTCTAGTTAAAGATATCTAGTGTTAGAAGTGTGTTTTAGTGATAAAAATGAACTCATATATAAGAGATTTTCAAGTTAAGGATATAGACACAGAAACAATTAGTGATTTTAATAATTTTAGATCTAGATACTCAATTAATCTAAAAAACGACTTTAAATGTATACATTGTAATATTAGCAGTTTAGGTAAAAATTTTGATAATTTTAGAATATTTTTGGACAAGCTCAGCCTAAAATTTGACGTAATTATTCTTACGGAAACTTATAAACAATATGATATTTCTAATAGAATTAATTATTAAATATAAAAACATTGAAAATATTTTTATATCTGTTATTTATAAGTCTCCTAGTATTAACGAATTAGATTTTATTACAAGCCTTGAGAGGTATCTTTCTCAAAAAAAGAAGTTCACGCTCACACAGTTTAGTTGGTGATATAAATATTAATTTATTTGATGAAAAAGATTATGTAGTCTATAAAAATATATTGGCATCTTTTAACTTCAACTCATATATTAATAAGATAACTAGACCAAGATCCGGTATATGCATTGATCATTTCTTTGTAAAATGTTCAACGGAAATATCAAGGAGAATAAAATCTTTTATTTTTGAAAATGATATAACAGATCACTATCCAATTGCTATATCTCTACCTAGAGAAGTAAACAAACCGAAAAATAACCTATGTAAATCTAAATAGGTACTATACCAATTACACATCATTAAAAGAAGATCTTCGGAAGGAGTCCTGGAATGATATGTAAGAAATAGAAAAAACAGAAAATAATTCAAACAAAGCTTTTCAGATTTTCATGTGAAAATTAACATTGTATATCGTCAAAAATAATAAAAAAGTCTAAAAACACTCATTTTATAAAAGAGTGGATGACTTCTGGGCTTCTGAAATCAATAAATATAAAGAATAAATTATATAATAAATTAAAGCTACATCCGACAAATCTAGAATTAAAAGACAACTATAATAATTATAAGAATAAAAATAGGTCACTGCAACAACTGCAAAGAAAAATTACATAAAAAGAGAATTTAACAAAAACAAAGAGATATCTTCTTCTCTATGGAAGTGTATAAATATAATATGCGGTAAAACACAAAAAAATAAAGATATAAATACAATTAAAACAGAAGGTCACGTATATACTGATAAATTAAAGATAGCTAATGCCTTAAATGATCATTATTGTACTGTCGCTGAAAAACTAGCGGTTAAAATATCTTCAACAAATAATACCTGTGATATAAGCCGTCTGGAAAACAGTCTGTATTTACGCCAAACGTGCGAAGACGAAATAATAAACATAATAATAAAAATAAAAAATAAAAAAGCTCCTGGTTATGACAATATTAGCTCGGATATTATTAAAATAATTTCGGGAGGTATATCAAAGCCTTTAACGTTTTTAATAAATTTTTGTATCGAAAGTGGTTGTTTTCCGGACTGTCTTAAAGTAGGTGTAATTAAATCATTATATAAAGGGGGTGATAAGGAGCATCTCTGGGCAATTATAGACCGATATCTATATTATCAGTTTTTTCTAAAATTTTTGAAACAGTTATAAAAAAAACGTTTGTTAAAATTCTTTCTAAAATTTAACATAATATCAAAAACTGAATTTGGTTTTTTAGAAGGCAAATCAACACAGGATGCCGTTCATTGACATCATCAATCTATGATGCTCTAGACTCGGGACATCCAGGGCCTATTTTTCATCTGGTCGGGCCCTAAGGCACAAGCAAAAATTCGGGCCCTCTTTTCCAATAAAATTCAAAAATTCTCTTGTTAGTTTGGGTTAAAAAAATAAAACAATTATTTTTATTTTTTTAATAATTTAAAAAAATAAATGAACATTATTATATTCAACAAAATAAATAATGAAAAAAAAACAACAAAATTAATTCTAATTTTAAAAAATAAATAATTTTTTTTAACAAAACCTAGAACAAAACTTACCTAAACAAAATTTCTAATAGTAAATTAACAAAATAAAAAAAAAACATTCTTTTAGTGAACAAAAATGAACAACCTTTAACGGGCCTCCCAGACCACCGGGCCAAAGGCCCGGGCCTTATGGGCCTTATGGTAAAATAGGCCCTGGGGACATCGAAGCCTCTGTATATTCGTAGATCTCGCTAAAGCATTTGATACGGTAAATCACAAAATACTTTTAGATAAATTAGAGAGATATGGAATACGAGGAAACAGTCTTAGTATTTTAAAAAGTTACCTTAAGAACAGATCAAAATATGTTTATTTGGGAGATATTAATAGTAAGCCAGGAACGATTGAGCATGGTACACAAGGCACTGTGTTGGGTCCGTTATTGTTTGTTATTTATATTAATGATCTACTTATACAATTAACACAAAAGCAGACATTTTTAGTTACGCAGATGATACAGCGATATTTTATAAATCTAACTCTTGGTCGAATTTGAAAAGATTAGCAGAGGAAGACTTTCAGACAATTAATACCTGGTTTGTCAAAAACAAATTAACATTAAACTATGACAAAACCAAATTTATATCCTTCTCTATTTATAAAAATAATGAACCAGATTGGGACAGATTACAAATAACCAATAATAATATGTAATACCGGAATGTGATTCTATAAAATATTTAGGGGTTACAATCGACAAACATCTTAAATAGAATATTCTAATATAATATATTAATAATGCAACTAAAAAATTGCGAGGATTGTTGCCGAAATTTAATTATTTGAAAAGTTTTTTCGACGTCAAACACCTTAGAATCCTGTACTCATCCCTTGTACAATCTCATTTGACATATGGAATTCTAGGATGGGGTGGTGCGGCTGAATGTCATTTAAAAGGCTTGTATTCTGTTCAAAAATGGTTCATAAAAATTATTTACAATAAAAAGAAAAATTTCTCTTCAAACGTTCTCTAAAGGCATGTAGATCAGCAGACGCATCTACTGGATATACGTCAGCTATACTGCCTAGATGTTTTAAAATTCATTTATCAGGGGAAAATATCCATTGAACATGTTGACCATGAATATGAAACTAGACATAAGACGTTTTATCCTAGTTTATGCTCTAAAACTGTTGGACAAAGATCTTCAAAGTTTTTTGCACCTCGATTATATAACATCTTACCAACCTTCCTAAAGGAAGTTAAAAGTTACTCTGGGTTTAAAAAAGGGGTATGCAAATGGATGGTTGATCGAAGTAGAGATATATTTAATGACCTAGTTAACTTAAAAAAAAACTAAACCGTTTGTTGCAACTACCATCGGCGTGTGATGGTAGCCCGTTTCTACTACTCTAAGAAAGACCTGACGATGTTGGTTGCGTGAAGTATTACCGACTTTTGCATTTTACGGTAAGTCTTGTATTGAATTCCAATATCTTTCAGAGAATTTTTCAAATTTATTGGTATCAGTCCCATTGATGTCAGGATGATTGGAACAATTTTGACCTCGTTGAGCCGCCACATATCTTTAATTTCGCGTTTTAATTCGGTGTACTTCTCAATCTTCTCTCTATGCTTTCTATCCATATTATGATTGTTTGGTATGGAAATATCAATGAGGAATGCATTATTATGTTGTTTGTCACTTACTGTTACGTCGGGTTTGTTATGTGGTATCGTTCTGGCAGTTATAATTCCTTTATTCCAGTAAACCCTGGCTCTTGTATTCTCCACTACCGGCGCTGGCTTATATTGGTAATATCTTGTGCTTGTTTCAACTTCAAAAGAATAGTTTTTTAGTAGTTCTAAATAGACTATCGTGGCCACTCTGTCATGTCTTTCCACGTATTTTGTCCCCGCCAATAGCTGGCACCTTGAGAGAATATGTTCTATTGTCTCCGACTCCATTTTGCATTTCCGACACGAAAATGAGGTTATATTCTCTTTCATAATAAACCTCCTATAGCTCAGTGTAGCGGTAATTATCCTTTCCACTGCCGATCCTAGATGGTGTTTTCTAAATTTTGATAATTCCGTTCTTACCAACCTGTTGATCCGTTCCAGGTCAGTCTGTGTCCATTTTACAACACCAAACGAATACTGCAAAATTGGGATGGCATAGCTATTAATTGCTTTGGTCAGGTTTTTTGAAATAAGCTTGCTTTTTAATAGCTTTTTTAGTCGTGTCTTGAATTGACCAGTAAGTATTTCCTTGATTTTGCTATGTTCAATCTTGTTTGTCTGCAGAACTTCAAGGTATTTGTATGGATCACGGGACATCGATGCTACTTTTGTGTTTGGGTTCAACTGAAATTCAGGTCCCTCAATCAGTTTTCCTCGCTCAACGGTTACTGTTTGGCACTTTTTGACACCAAAGTCCATGGCAATATCAGTGCTCATCTGATAGGTGACTTTTAGGGCAGCGTCTAGTTGCTTTTGGTTTGCCGCGTAGATTTTTAAGTTATCCATAAAGAGCAAATGGCTGATAACTTTTGAGTTTTTTCCAAATTTCAGGGTAAAACCGAACCCTGTTTCTTTAAGTGTTTCGGATATTGGGTTCAGAGCAAGGCAGAACCATAATGCAGACAAGGAGTCACCCTGTAAGATTCCTCGCTGCAATCTTATACTTTCAGATTCCATATTTGACTCTTGATGTTTGATACTTAGTGAAGTATTCCATTTGGTCATAGTATGCTGTAGGAAATTTATGATGGTATTATCGATACTGTAAATTTCCAAAACTTTTAGAAGCCAGCTGTGAGGTATCGAATCGAAGGCCTTCTGGTAATCTACGTATGCCATGCATACGTTTCTTTGCCTTTGGTGTGCTTGTTCGAGAATTACAGCATATAGAGTGATCTGTTCTTTAGAGCCAAGAGCTCCTCTTCGACATCCTTTTTGTTCTTCCGTCATAATGTTTTCTTGTTCCAGGTACGTATCAATTTTGTCACGAATTATAGCAGAAATAATTTTATACAACGTTGGTAGACAGGTGATCTATCTGTATTGCGACGGGTCTTTGGTATTCTCGGATTTCGGGAGAAGGTAGGTAACTCCTCTTGTGAGGAAACTTGGAAGTTCCTCTGGTTTTTGTAGGACTCTGTTAAATTGTGATACCAAACATGCGTGTGTACAGGTAAGTCTTTTGAACCAAAAGTTCTGGATCCCGTATTTTCCTGGTGCTTTCCAGTTTGCTAGTTTCGATATTACTTCATTGGTTGTTACTGTTACTAGGTTCATTGGGTTTCCACGTAACTTCTGTTCTTGTACGCATATCCTTGTATCGCAAACCAAACCACATCCGCCAGTTCTTGTGGCTCACCTACATCTTCTCTGTTCTCCAATGACCTGTAGAAGTACCTTTCATTTTTTACAAACTGGTTGTTCTGCACTTTTCTCTGATAGCTTTCTTGGTATCGGCGAAGTCTTTTCGAGAAAGCTGCAAGTTTTTGTTTTAATGTATCCAAGTAGTCGATGATGATGGCTCGAGTTTCTTGCTTGGGCTTGCCGTTTTACTGTTTAGTATGTTCGGGTGGTAGTTTACTAGTTATTTTTCTGCTGGTCGTCCCATTGGCCATCTGCTGGAGTCTCCCAATATCCTTTCTGAGGTTTTCGATGTTTTGGGCTATTCTTAAATAATTCTTAATAAACGTTATTATTATTATTATTATTATTACTATAGAACAGTTTAAAAGAAAAAAATCCTTGGATGAAGCACTTTTGAACCAAAAAAAAATAATTTAAAAGTGTCTAAAATGCTAACCAATCTATCACAGTAAATTATTAAAATATAAAAACCACAGCTTAACACCCTCCACAAAGAAAAGCTAACCAAAGCAACCCAAATCCTAACCAATCTAATAATATTTTTGCAAAATCACAGTAAATTATTAAAATATAAAAACTACAGCTTAACACCCTCCACAAAAAAAGCTAAACAAAGCAACCCAAATGCTCAAAAAGAAAACTGTATGGTATCGAACAATTTTTTTGTCTTAATATGCTCTATTTACAGTAATCTTCCTAAGAAAACAAAGTAAAGTGTGAAATTTCGAGGTACCTAAAGTTTACCAGAACCATAGATTGGATTGTATGGTATTTGTCAACTGAAATAGAAGTAAGCCAGAAGTGCGACACCATGCGCCAAAAATTCATATTTCTAGTTATTATAGATCTCTAATTGATGACTTTAATTATCGCTCTAATTTGAATAATAAAGGAAAATAATCCATCACTCTTCATCACTAAACATATCAAAAAGACAAATGTTGACACTTATTGAGTCAAAATTTGACAATAAAGTGTAGTTATGTCCCCCTTATTTTAATTTTGAGTAAATGTTTTAAAGGTTTAAATTTTATTTTTAATATGGCTAAAGTAGGTATTAACGGCTTTGGAAGAACAGGAAGGTTATTATTGCGAGCAATGATTCAACGAGTTCCTGACAAAGTTGTACCTAGTGGCATCAACAATCCTGAATCCGATTCTGCTGAGTATATAGCATATATATTTAAACACGATTCTACGCATGGTAGATTTTATGGCGAAGTGTGTTATGATGAAAAGCATTTGATAGTTAACAAAATAAAAATACCAATATTTAAAGAAACTGATGCTAAAAATGTAAGTAAAATAAGACATTTTTTTCATTTTGTCTTCAAGGGTTCATAGATTTTTAGAAACGAAATGTAAAATATAGTAACTATACAGGGTTGTTCAGCACATACGACACGGAGTATTGTAGCTATTGTAAACGATTAGATTTTTACAATTGTAAGTTTTGGGTTCGTTGAAGTTGAAGTTAGAGCTACAATTTAAAAATATTTTTACTTTATATACAGAGTGTCCCAAATAAATAAAAAATATCAAAGTTATATTTTTTTAAACGGAACAACCTGTATATTTTTACATTTTTAGTTTCTACGATTAAAATAAAGGTAAATTTGATTAAGGTTTATCATTCTTAAATCTTACCGTTTTTGAAATATTTTCAATTTTGTAAAATTGCAGTAAAAATTTTAAGGCTTCATTTCTCCAAGGCCTTTATAAACAAGGTCCAAGGATACCAAAGTTTTTAATATTAAATATTTACTGAAGTTTATTTATTGATCAGTTATTGTGTTGCAATAATAAAAATAATACCTCATACAGAGTGTCTAAAATTTTATTTTAAATAATTACTAGCTTTAAACGGCAATTGTTTAACTAAACAATTTGTTTAATTTAAACGGCCCTGTATATTTTAGGAGAATCAGATGCACATTTTAATTGATTAATAATTGATAATTTGAGAACCACTGGATCTTTTCTGGATTTTCTTTCTTGTAAATTTAATCTAATACCTATGTTGCCATATTATCACGAAATTATGTTTTTTTAACTAAAAACTAAAAAAATTTTCAAAAATTTTTTCAAAAAATTTCGAATTTTCAAAAAAAATTTTTTCGCGAAAAAAACCTCATAGGCGTGTTTCTGGGGTTGAACTATATACCAGTTAAAATACTTGCACTTATTTGTGGGACACCCTGTATATAAATAATCTGATATTAAACTATTAACAAAACAAAGTTCTGCCCTTGTGCGACTGTCTGCGGATGATATATATATATATGACTAAGTCTACTTTTTTATTTTAGATTCCTTGGGACAAAGCAGGCGTTGAATATGTAGCAGAATGTAGTGGTAGATATACAACTGTAGAAAACGCGAAATCTTTTCTTAAGGGATCAGTTAAAAAAGTTGTAATATCCGCGTCTTCCTCCGATGCCCCCATGTATGTCTTAGGTGTCAACAACACCAGCTATAACCCAAAAGATAAAGTGAGTATGGTTTTAAATTTAAGACTAATAATATTTTTTCCATAGCAACTGTTAAAATTGCCTTATATCTATCAAAAATAATAGATAAAATAGTACTTTAACAGCAAGGATAAGTTAAAAACTTTATTTCTTCTCGCACGATTTTCAATTGTTTCCATTTTTGAAAATTTTTGTATTCCTTTTCATAAGTTATTCGGGATTTAAATGGAAGTAGTTTGGATGTGGCTTTTGTCGCCTCAGCCTGAATATCTGTTGGTAATTTACTTATTTCGTTTTGAGCCATTTCTGGCTCCAATTCAGCAATAGACACGAATAGGGAATGCAATCCCGCACCAAAATCTCAATCCCGCAAATCCGCGGGATTAAAGCAATCAATCCCGCGGATCCGCAAAATTGCGGGACTGAACAATAATCATACATTTGGTCCTAAATGGTACAAAAGGCATTGCTACTGCCATTACTCGCTGACGAGTATTTGACACGCATCAAAAGATGGTTACGCAAGGCGTTTCCTGTCATGAGCTTTTCTGTGACTGAAAAGCCCGATACGTGATGTTATCTCTCTTCCGCACTCCGGACATTCAAAAATCTCATTACTTTGCTGCCTCTTCAGTTTTTGGTTGTCGTTATTAACTGAATTTACAATTCTCCTCCATTGCGTTCTATTGTGCGCTGCTTCCTCCCACTGATGCTGCATACTTATCCTCTTTAAGTTTTCATGAACAACATCCTTGTATCTTTTAAGTTGTCCACCCGGTTTCCTCTTACCCTCTACAAGTTCACCGTAAAGAAGAGATTTCGGTAGGCGGTTTTCTTGCATCCTGCATACGTGGCCAGCCCATCTTAAGCGAGATTTAGTAATCATGACTTCAGCGCTCTCGCAGCTTGCTTTTTTAAGGACTGATACGTTTGAGACATGGTGGTACCATTTGATTCTTAAAAGTTGTCTAAGGTGTCCCTGTTGCAACTTGTTTAATGCGCTCGTGTGCCGGCGGTACGGCACCCAGGTTTCGCTTCCATATAACATGGTGGGGATTATTACTGCTCGATACACTGCAAGTTTCGTTTTTGTGCTCAAGTCATGATTGTAGAAAACCCTGTCTTTTAATTTCCAGAATGCTCTTGAGGCGCTGCTGATTCTGTGCTGAATTTCAGAGTCGATATTTGCCTTTTCCGAAATCAAACTGCCGAGGTAATTAAATTCCGATACATATTCCAATAGTTCTTCTCCGATTTTTATAGCGCTGTTATGATTTTCCGCGGGAGTGCACATGATTTTTGTTTTATCGATGTTCAGTTTAAGGCCCAAAGTCTCGTATGCCGAGGTATATGTGTTCAGCATTTCCTGTAATTGTTGTAACGTATTTGCAACTAGAGCGCAGTCATCAGTGTATTGGAGTTCTGTGATGAATTTTATACGTATTTTTGCCCTGAGTATTTTTATATTGAACAGACCGCCGTCATACCTGTATCTAATATCCATTCCTCTCTCCTGCAGTTTGCTGTCCACTATAATAGAGAGCACTGCCATGAATATGTTGAATAGGAGAGGAGCTAGAACACATCCCTGCCTAACTCCTGTATTTGTCAGGAAGGGATCGCTCAGTGATCCATGATGTGACACTCTCGACTTGTTGTTGTTATGGAGGCTTTTATACACACTAAGAAATTTGTTGGGCATTCCGAACTTTTGCATAATTGCCCAAAGTGCATCTCTGTTTACAGAGTCGAAGGCTTTCGTTAGGTCGATGAATGCAACATAAAGTTTACTCTGCTGTTCCTTTACTTTTTCCTGTAGTTGGCGGACGGAAAATATGGAATCAACGGTACCGCGGTTGGTGCGAAAGCCCATTTGTGATTCTGGGAGGATTTTTTCTATATGTGGGTGCAGGCGGTTTGACATAATTTTTGCGAGAACTTTACCTCCGATAACCAGTAGTGAAATTCCTCGGTAGTTTCCGCAATCTGATGCACTTCCTTTGTTCTTAAATATATTTACTATAGTCGCGTTGCGAAAGTCCTGAGGTACCTCTCCGCTTTCCCATATGACATCGAAGAGAGCCTTAAGATGACCAATAAGTTCTTTGCTTGCACACTTATAGATTTCCGCTGGAATCGCGTCACAGCCAGCCGATTTGTTGTTTTTAAGTTGTTTTATGGAGGCCCTTATTTCCTGTTCCGTTATTGGGATATCTAATACATCAATGCTGTTATACTGAGGTATTGTGTTTAGTGCTTCCATATTGGGGATATTGTCTTGGTTAAGGATATGGCTGTAATGCTCTTTCCAGCGATTTCTGATTTCCTCTTCCTCTTTTAGAAGTTCCCCGTTTTGTGCCTTGATTGGGCAGCTTACGTTCTTAGTTGGGCCGTATACTTCTTTTACAGCCTCGAAGAATTTACGATAGTCGTGATGCGCGGCGTATTCTTGAATCTGATTTGCTTTTTGTGACCACCAGTTATTCTTTAGTTGGCGCAGGTTTCTTCGAAGCGTGTTGTTGGCTGCTTTAAAGTTGTCCACCAGCCTTGAATTGTGTGGATTTGCAGTGACTGCTTGATGTGCTCTATGCTTTTCTTCCAACAAAGCCTGTATATGTGGTTGATTTTCGTTAAACCAGTCTGGTTGTTTCTTTTTGTTGGATTTTCCCAGTATTTCTTCGCTGGTATTATAAATCGCATCCCTCAATTGTGTCCAGCCTTGTTCAGCTTCGGAGATTGAGGTTATCGGTGGAAGTGCTTCTCTGATGGGTTCCCGGAGGGCGTTGGCGGTGTCGTTGTTCGTTAGACTCCGTACGTTTAATCTGGTCATATTGTTTTGCTTTTTGCAGTGTGGATGTTTGGGTTTTAATTGAAGTTTCATTTTCGAAACTATAAGTCGGTGGTCAGTACCACATTCGGCATCTATTCTGGCTTTTGTAAGTCTGACATCTTTCAGATGCTTCCTTCGAACGATGACGTGGTCTAATTGATGCCAGTGGCCTGATCTGGGATGTTTCCAGGTACCTTTAAACTTGTCTTTCAGCTTGAACCATGTATTGGCGATGCAAAGGTTGTAATCTGTGCATGTTGTTAGCAAGCGTTCACCATTGATATTTACGTTTCCCATTCCATGTGTTCCCAATACGTCTGGCCATATTTCTTGCTGATTACCGACACGTGCATTAAAGTCACTTAGCAAGATGATTCGCTCCTGCTTTGGAATTCGTTGGAGAACATTTTGTAGATCTTGGTAAAATTTATCCTTTTCCTCAACCTTAGCGGCTAGGGTGGAGCGTAGGCACTAATGATATTGACGTAGGTTTTATCTGATATGGAGTACCTTAGAGTCATGAGACGTTCGGAGACTCCAATGGGCACTTCTGTTAAACTGGTGGCGATTTCGTTTTTGACAGCAATGCCTACGCCATGAATTCTACTGTGTGTGGCAGGGCGACCCTTCCAAAAGAAGGTGTAATGCTCCTCAGTGAGACTACCTTCATCTGCAAAGCGAGTTTCGCTAAGAGCGGCAACATCTATACTTAGCCGGTGGAGTTCCTGTGAGACCAGAGCAGTTCTTCTTTCTGGTCGATTAGAGTTTGTCCTGTCCAGGAGAGTGCGGACGTTCCACGCCGCAAACGTGAAACATTGACGCTGCTTAATTCTCCGATGATACGCTCGAGTAGGCACCCCCTCCCGGAGATCCCATCGAGGGGGTATTTTACTTCCGGACGATGATTTTGTCCCACTCGAATGTTCCATCTTTGATGAGTGTTAGATGCGTAAAAGGGTTAAACTGTGACGGTTACGCTGCCGCACAGTTTGGCTGCAACTGTAGCACGGGATAACTATGGCACAGTGAGGACTGAGACGATAGTTCCCTTGTGCTACGTTCTCGGCCGGGTAGGAGTAGTCTACTTCTTCTCTTCCCCAGAACGATGGTAGGTCTAAGGGTTGTATAGCGTTATACCGGCTATACTCGGACGTCAGAGCCTCGTTTGTGAAAACAGGGTGCACCACGTGAAGGTGAGGTTGACTTTTGGGTAAGCTAGGCTATATGTATCGCTTCAATACCCCTTACACACCCTTAAAAAGGCATTGTACATTTTGCATAGGCCCACAATACATTGATATAGCGTGTATCTTAAACTAGCTGTACAGAAATTTGGACCGATTTATACAGGGTGTTCAAAAAATATATTTTATATTGAATAAACTTAAATTTTATTATAATTTATCTACTTATTTTATAAATGAAAATATTATTCTGTTGTTGAAGTTTTTTTTTAAATTGTGTTAGTTATCTGCTTTTAGATACACTCTATATCAATAATTTTTTGGCATTTGCAGAATGTATAAAGCTTTTTTTCTTTTTGTACCACTTAGGACCATACATATGACTAAAAATGCATATTTTTCGAAAAAAAGTCAATTTTCCTTAAACAAAAAAAAATAAAAAACCGATCAAATTGTTTTTTCTAATTTCAATACAGATTAGTCGTACTTGGTAAAAATTTCGATTTTTTAAAACTCGTAAATTTGCGGTAAAAAAGATTCTTCATCAAATTTTCACTCTCTTATAAAACACCCTGTATACGAGAATTCGCTAAATATATTTTCGAAAACCACATAGCATCTTAATCACAATAGATGCATCTAAAACCTGGTCCAAACCGCATCCCAAAATCTTTTTTAATTCAAGAGATATTCAACTTTAAATTTATCCTAAAATTTTGCTTGTCCCGATAATTATGTCCGGCAGTTTATTTGACGAAATTGTCCACAAGTACTAGTTAAGGCTGATTCATGGTACACCGGGCCGTACCCGAGCCGGGCACGTTCCGTAAAGTAGACACCGAGCCACGTCCGGGCCTTCAATATATGCTACACCGAGTGGACAACGGGGATCATGTCCGTGCCGATTATATTCTAGAAAACAGTGTTGCCGCAGTGGTACATTTGTACCAAATTTGATACTTTTAATTCTATTTGGTACAGTGGTACTACATTTTCAAATCCAGGATAATTTGGTACAATAATGATTTCCCACGCGCACCGAAAATGAATAGATATTTAATAATTATTGTCGTTGATATTGCATTAAACGCGCTTACCGATACCATTCGGAGATAATCCGCATTAATTAACGACGTATTATAAACGTTGTAATGTCCATAGCGTTGCCTATATTAAATAACCCAAAGAAAAAACTTGAAAATTTACTTTTTCTAACATGCTTCTATATTTGCGTTTTTTTTTAATAAAATTTAAGTTTTCCAAGTATTGTGTGTAGTATTAGAATTACTTAGATTTCTTCAACCTATACATACTTATAATTGGATTTTCTGAATTTCTATTTCATGTTTTTCGTCTCGATTTGTGTCTTTCTCCAGGAAGTTTTTTTATGTAGGAATTTATGAAGAAATTCACAGCGACCAAACCGGTTAAAGTCATTTGCAGATGTATTTTGTTGTGCTTTAAAAAATTGTACCAAAGTGGTACATTTTTAGTTTATAATGTGGTACGCGCTAAAAGTTGGGTGCGGCAACACTGCTAGAAAACAGTCGCTATAGGCCCGTAGACGAACGAAGTATTTAGCCCGGGCGACTCATTTATGTTTGCCGCAACGGGGCCGGACCGTAGCGGATCCGAGGAAAAATGTACACCGACATTTCTCGGACGGGGCACGGACGGGTTCCGGCGAAGCTCGGCCCGTGCTCGGCTTAGCATGAATGCATAGGTATAAATAACATTTGACAATGTTTGGCCGTGCCTTCACCGTCGCACGGCCCCGGCCCGTCACGGTGTACCATGAATCAGCCTTTAAACGGGCCCCCGGGTTCCGAGCGTCGACTCATCGGTCCGGAATGAAGGGATCATAAGGGATTTGACCTTGATCGAGATCGATTCGGTTACCCAGTAGTAATGTGTCAATCCCGCGGATCCCGCACGATAAATCCCGCAACTTCGATCCCGCGGAATCTCAGAGGGATCCCGCATTTGCGGAATCCAGCATTTGCGGTATTGCATTCCCTAGACACGAAAGAGAATTAAAAAAATATTGACTCAAAACTGACAACTAAAGAGATAGCTTTATTTATTTGTCAAATTACATAGAAACCAACGCCAACCCAGCACAATATTTTTTCTACTCGTAATAAATTCCTTGATATAATAATTTCTGAATATTTTTTAAAACGTAACTCGCTATGGAAAAAAAATTGTTTTATACACGACGATAAAATTGCATTATCGCCTCCCGAAATTAACTCACGAGCGATGAAATCGCGGGGTCGACGATTAAATACCCATTTTATGGTCTTGTATAAAAAATTCTCTCCACAAAACGCGTTTGTGGAGAGTTCAGAATAATTTTGAATCACTATAGCATTAGATTATACAGGGTGTTTCAAAAAACATGTACCATCTCTCGTGAGGAGATTCCTCATGTAAAAATAAGATATATTTTTCATATCAACATAGGTCCGATTCTGCTTTGTTTCGTAGCTAGAGGGTGTTAAAGTTTCTTTCGATTTATTATAATTTTCTTCCAAGTACTTTTAGTGATTCGAATGAAATTTTGAGGGTAAAAGTTACTATAAGTGCTACATATTTTAATGCTAAAAAAGTGTCGATAAATTTATCAGGGACGTGCATATGGGTTATCAGTGGAATATTTTTCAAAAAAAATCATTTGCGCCACTAACTTTTTTCTTTTGATATCAAAATTGTATAGACCGTTTAATGCCATTTAAAAGTTAGCTCTTGATATTTTGTCGAATTCGGCCTTCTTGGTGAGATAAATGCAATTTTATTAAGCACAATTAATAAAATTAAAATATAAAAAAAAGAAATTAATATATGTATTATATATTTTACCTAACTTATTATTAAATATTATTACTGTTAGTTATTATTACTATTAGTCCAACCTACAGCAATTTCAAATAAAAAACTAATGGTATTTCAGTTAATTACAAAAAAACAAATTTTAAAAAGTCTTAACATCCTGTAACTCTAAAACTATGTATTTTCATATCCATGTTTATAGGATTTTTTTTTCAAATTTTTTTATGAGGAATCAATGCGTACTTATTTAAAACTTTCGTAAGTTAATGATATTATTTTTTTAAAAGTTGCTATTAGACTTGGATCAAGACAAATTATTAAAATTGCGTTTATCTTATCAAGGAGGCCGAAATCGACAAAATATCAAGAGACAACATTTAATCGGCATTAAACTGCTTACACTATTTCGCTAACAAGAGAATAAAAAGTCAGTGACGTACATGCTTTTTTTAGAAAAATATTCCAGTGATAACCCGTATGCACGTCTCTGATGAATTTATTGACACTTTTTTTAGCTTTAAAATATGCCGGATTTATAGTAATTTTTACCCTTAAAATTTCATTCTAAACGCTAAAAGTACAGGGTGGCTCGAATTCGACGCTCATCATTGGGATTTCGGAAACCGTAAGAGATACAGGATCGGTTAAATGGAGGCAAAGTTGCGCAATTTGATGCTCAATAAAATGCCGTATTGCATTTTTTTTGTGTAAAACATTCTGGTGATGGAATTTTCTGTACGAAACGTCGGCAAATATCAAAGTGACTATACAGGGTGTCCCAGGCTGAGCGTGCATTAGAAGTTTCTAAAGAACTACAACATCTAGCTCGGAGATTTTTTGAACATCATACTTTCACAACGAGATCTATCGACTAAAAATATTTTCAATATGGCGGCACTTCCGGAAATACCGGAAGTTGACAATAACTTTCTTATTTTAAATGGGTACCCCCATTTTATATTATGTACTTAAATTCTCTGTAAAATTTTATGAATTTTGATATTAAACACTATATCTAACATTAACCGTTTTTGAGAAAAAAAGTATTTAAAATTTTTGAACGAAAAAAACTGCCTGTCAAAAATATGTGTATAGCCTGAACGTCAAATTTAGTGATTACCACAGCCACTTTGCCATAAAGAGAAAACATGTAGCTATGTAATTCAAAAATTAAATTGTTCGAATGTCATATAATAATGGCCGCAGCTGTCATAGAATTGAGCGATTAAAAAATTATCATATATCATTTTTTTCAAATGGAAACACACTTTTTTTATTTCACTAGTGAAAAGGCTTTTCAGTTTGTTACTTTTTAACTATACATGTTCCTATACCTAAAATAAATCGTTTTTGAGTTATTTAAGATTTAGTTTTAAAGCGTATATTTTTCTTGATTTTAACCAGTAACCTAATGACTTTAAACGTCAAGTGATGTAAAACAATAGATCTGGCCATGCCATATTGTGACGCTTTGTTCAAAAAGCAATATCATTTTCGAGCCAACTTTGCGCAGCTTTTTTTTTCCATCATACCGAATATTATTAATAATATTAACTTTAGATATCACTAAAGAACGAAAATACGAGATATATTTTTATAAATACACTTTTTAAACTCTTAAGGCAGACAGTATTTATGATATAGGAAATTCAAATAATTCATTTTCTGACAGAATAAATAAATTGTTTGACCGTTTGACACTTAATGCCAAAGGAAGCTAGATAAAATCAAGTAAAATATACGTTTTCTAACTCAATCTTAAATAACTTAAAAACGATTTATTTTAGGTATAGGAACATGTATAGTTAAAAAGTAACGAATTGAAAAACCGTTTCACTAGTGAAATAAAAAAAGTAGGTTTCCATTTGAAAAAAATGATTTATGATAATTTCTTAATCGCTCAATTCCATGACGGCTACCGCCATTATTATATGACATTTGAACAATTTAAATTTTGAAGTAGATAGTCACATGTCTTCTCTTTATGTCACAGTGGCTGTGGTAATCACTAAATATGACTTTTAGGCTATACAAATTTTTTTGACAGGTAGTTTTTTTCGTCCAAAAATTTTAAATAATTTTTTATCTCAAAAATGGTTAATGTTAGATATAGACTGTTTAACATCAATATTTATAGAATTTTACAGAGAATTTAAGTATATAATAAAAAATTAAGATAAGAAAGTTGCTGTCAACTTCCTGCATTTCCGGAAGTGCCGCCATATTGAAAATATTTTTAATCGATAGATCTCTTTGTGAAACTATGATGTTCAAAAAATTTCCAAGCTAGATGCTGTAGTTCTCTAGAAACTTCTAATGCACGCTCAGCCTGGGACACCCTGTATATAGTGTTTTAAGAGTGATTTAATTAAATTGAAAAAAAAATCAGGTCCGTATTTAAAAAAATTAAGTTGATGATGGTCGCCAGAAGCCGAAACGTCTGACGCCGTTTTTTTTATCATATGGTCTAATTTTGATTTTAATACTAATTACATTTTTATCAAGGTAGTTTCGATGGCGTCCTGTACTACAAACTGTTTAGCACCGCTTGCGAAAGTAGTTCATGACAAATTTGGTATACGAGAAGGTAAATAATTTTATTTTTTATCTGCTACTTTTTATTAATACATATTTTTTCTGTTATGGCAATTAAACTAAACTTATTTTATAATTTAAAAACTAGTAAATTTTAATATTTTATTTATAAGTAGGATTATGATAGGATTTTTATATGTAGGCCATTTACCATTCACACCACTAGACTGTGTTCAGAAGGGATTTTCAAATTTGATTTCAGAACCAACCATACGTGTACAGCAGGATAGTATTTTTAGTATGTTAAATCTTTTTGTCCTTCTATTGATCTTCTCTGAATGTGTCTATTTGAGTTTCATAAACTTTTTATTTGAGACTTCTTCTATACAGGGTGAGTCTTAAATAAGTGCAAATATTTTTAGGGGTGGTATATTTCAACCTCCCTGAACACGTCTATGAGGTTTTTTTCGCAAAAAGAGTTGTTGAAAATCGTGTATTTTCTTTTAAATTTTACTATATGTTTTATAAAACTTTTTAGAAATGCCTATTCACCGCAAATTTTCCCACGTTAACGGTTACGGAATTAACAGGGATGCAAATACAGAAAAAATCCGGTGACTCAATTTTTTTTAAAACTCTGCTTTTTTGGATTAATTTGAAAAACGGCAAAGAGAAAATATGTTTCTTTTATCGAGATCTACCAGCCCTGAAAATATTTGCACTTATTTAAGACTCATTCTGTATAATGTCAAGACTTTCAATAGTTTCATTAGCCCATTTTTAATTGTTTGTTTTATTGTTGTTATTGTTTCGAAAGGAGCGGATGTCCAGTTGGAGATCACTGAAGATCCACCACTACGGTTACAAAGATCTATTGGGGCTCATAGAAAAGAAGGTTTGATGAAAATAGGAGTTAATAAAGGGAGACAGATAGAAATGAAAAAGAAAATATTCAACCAGTATTCTGTGTGTTTCCCAATACATATAGTTTTTAATTATGAACTATCCATATAATATAAATTTTATTTTATTATTATTCGTAACATCTTATTCTTTTAGATAAATACAAGATTAGAATGTTAAATAAAACTGAATTTTCAATGCGTACTGATATACTGTTTGTATTAGGTCTTATGACTACGGTGCATTCGGCCACTGAGAACCAACATATTTTGGATGGGTTTTCGATCAACTCGTGGCGAGATAGTAGAGCGGCTATTTCGAATATTATCCCGGCGTCTACAGGGGTAGCCAAGGCAATTGGTAAAGTGATACCAGATCTTAATGGGAAATTAACAGGTAATTAAGATATCATCATTAAATGACAATGCGTTATGGATTAGTGTCGTGACAATCCACTGTTGCCATCGTATATTGTAACTAAAGGCGGGTTCTTACTTGTTCTTCTTCTTTACATGCCGTCTCTTTTGTGGAGGTTGGCGATCACATCTTCACGCAAAATCTTCACGACTTTCGGCTTTTCCTATGAGTTCTTCAAAAGTAAGGTGAGTTCAATTTCTGATGTTTCTCAACCACATAGTTTCTTCCTGCCGAGACTACTTTTTTCTTCAATTTTTCCCTTAACTCTTAGTAGTTAGATGTGATATTTTTCGTTTCTCAATATATGCCCTAAATACGACGTTTTTCTTATCTTTATTATATTGAGCAGTTTTCTTTCTCTGCCTATTCTGTTGTAAACTTCGGTATTTGTGATATGGGCTGTCCATGGAATCTTAAATATTCTTCGATTCATCTCATGAACCTTGTGTGTTCATGTTTCTGCTCCGTATAATAAAATTGACCAAACATAACCCCTAAAGAGCCTAATTCTCAACTCAAGGTCCATTCTGGAGTTCTGGAAAATGTTTTTAATTTTTAAAAATGCATATATGTCCTGTTCTATTTTGGTTTTTATTTCCACGTCGTTATTCAACGTTCCATACTGGACGAGTTTCAACAAGTAGGGTCAACATGGAAGGCAGCAAAAATAACTGCCAAAAATAGAACCCGATGGAGAGCTTGCACTGGAGCCGTTTGCTTCGCGTAGGAGATATAGGATCCTATATAACTTTTTTCTCTAGCGGCTAACTTTTGAACTTAACTATAATTTACAGCATTTTTTTTTGTTGGCCAATTTACTCATAAATATACCGTATGATCGAAAAAAACGACGTCAGCGATGACTACGAAATGAAGATCGCTGTCATTTTATATGAGAAATGTCATCGATCGTCATTTCCCAGCCAACTGGACGCCGTTTTTTTTCGATCATACGGTATTTTTCTATGCCCGGGTTTATAGCCGCGATAACGCGATGTCCCTATTATTGGACTATCTCATTATAAGTTGGTAAATTCAGTTCTCGTTATTACTTATATTTTATCAATCATTATTAGAGAGTATTAACTACATATATTTTCAGAAAAAAAAAACTTAGTTTAGTATTTTATAGATATGAATATTTTCTACAGAGGTTCGATCACTTATTTCTTCATTAATTTTAGGAGTGACATTCAATTTTACGCATATATTATTGTTAAGCAATCACGCATTTTTAACATTTTTAAACAATGATAAACTATTATTTTATTTAAAAGCCGGAGGCATTACAGCGTTATCTTATGTCCGAATTTTATATATTTATACTTAATTATTATTGGGCAGATGGACAATTTCAAGACCCAATTTAATTTATCTATTATCTAGTTATAACAGTCCCATTTTACAATAACAATGTACTTAATATTATACCATGTTTTTTAATTTTAATTGCAGGAATGGCATTTCGAGTTCCAACGCCTACTGTGTCAGTAGTTGATTTGACGGCCAGAATATGCAAAGCTGCTAAATTAAGCGAGATAAACGAAGAAATAAAAAATGCTTCTAAATACTCTCTCAGTGGAATTCTCTGTTATACCGAAGAAAAAGTCGTATCAACAGATTTTATTGGTAAATGCGTATTTTCTTAATCTTTTTATTATCACTATCATCTTATTCGAAAAATAGCTTTGTTCTCCCATTATTGTATCCTTTGCATCTTGCATCCTTGATATGCATACATGTGTTTCGTTGTTACTCTCTTTGATACCAGTTTATTTCGGCTGGTTTTGTAATTTCGTATTCTGGTCTTAGATTAGGGCATCTCCTTGGCCTTTTTAATGCCTCCTGGGCACTACTGTGTAATTTTAGTAGTCCATCTCTATTTTCTGTCCTCAGATAGGAACTATCAAAAAAAGGAAATAGCCATCTAATCCGATATAGTCTGTCCAATGACAAGATCTTTGAAAGTGATAGATGTGTCTGTCTGTCATTTTAATTTCAAAGTAGTTTATTTTATTTTACAAAGAAATAAGTTGGTACAGGTGGAACGCATAGCAGGAAATTAATATATTTAAAATTTGAGTGACAAGTGATTACTTCAAAATATTGTGAAAAAACTGTATAAAACTGAAAAAATCTAATAGAGTTATTTTATTAAAAAAAAACGGTATGTGCTAATATAAAACAAACAAGAACGAAAATCCACATACCATAAAAGTATAAAAAAAAACTATTTCTGACTTTCAAGCTGTATAAACTTCCCGCATTTATTATTATATTTATTAATATAAGTTATGTATGTACAAATACAAATTTGTTATATTCCACAGGAATAAATAAAACAACATAAATAAAATAAACTATTTTATTAATAATAACAATAACACTTACCTAATAGTGCTTTAAGCCCTTATGAGATACAATTGGATACAAACCTCGGAATTCATTTACTGTGAACGAATTTTTATAAAGCTTTTTGCATTGTATTGTTAATAAGATATATTACAAAGTTTATTTAAATTCGTTGCTTTCACTTTAGTATTTAAATAAACACACACAATGCATAGAAACAAGATGGCTCCGTTTTCCGGAAAAGCTCTGTAACAGGATTCCTATTTGAGATTTTCACTCCAAACCTTTTACAAAATATATGTTTAATAGTAGTTTACATTTCAAAAATATTTTTATAGATATACAGGGTGAGTCAAATATATATCATTTATTTATTCGAGTTTAGTGAATTTGCTATAAAATTCTGGTTCCAAAAATACCTTAATACCATAGAGTATATTAAAATGGTCTTTGAATTATGACCACGTCCATGAGGACGTCAATATAGACGTCCAGGAACCTTCGTATGAGAACTTTTAATCGAGACGATCGATTTATTGTAAGTTTATCGCTAAGAAACCGCTGTTTGCCAACTTTTGAAATTGATAATGAATTGCACTTAAGAACCGTACATATTAACTAACGGACTACAAGAAGATGATTAAATGAAGCAAATCTTATGTCAAGAAGGCCTGCTTCGGGACCAGAACTTACTAGATGTGTTGACTAGGCCCAAAAGCAAAGGCATGGTCTTAATGTAAAAATTACAAAAAATGTTAGTGCCTTCTTTAAAACCGAATATTTCCAACAAAAATAAAGCTAATGAGATGAACCAAAAAACAAACCATCGAGAAAGGACGTATCTAGATGATAAAATAATTTTTAAATTTCTTGCTGTTTTAACATATTTCACAGGGTGTTTCAAACTTTCATCAAAAATATCAACATTTTGTTTTTCCTCGTATAATTAACAGATGGGGAGTTTCATTTTTAATTTAGAAAAATATACTAAGAAGTCAAATAATTTGGCAACACACTGCTTAAAAAAATCATCAAAATCGGCCCATTAAAATAAAATATATTAACCTTTAAAATACATCAAAGTTTTAAGGTGCCCATTTTTCGTGCCGGTGAATGTATTTTAAAAACAGTAGTATTAACTATAAAGAGTATTAACTATAAAGAGCATTAACTATAAAGTGTGCTCTGGGGCTACAGTTAATTTTCTCTCGATTTTTCCTCCACTTGACTTCAAAAGACACAAAGCACACGTAATAACACGAATCAAAATGCATCATCTTCCAAAACGCAGGGTATTTGACATAATTTGACACAAAATTATAACCTATAATTTGGCAAGACTTTGACAAGCCTCAAAAAACTAAAGGCGAGTTCATACGCATCGGCGTCCGTTTGTCGTTCATCGTTCCGTCAAACCAATAAAATTGAAATATGATCTGTCATTTTTGAAATAAACCATTAAAGCTGGTTAAAAATAATAAGAGATGGCGCATGACGGATTTACGAGTATATTTAAACCCATCCATAGATAACTTAAAAAATATTAGAAGCTTTTTTATACTCTGTTTTTTTTTCTCAGGTAAGATTTCGACAGACGCTAACAGAAGAAAAGCAGATGACGTCCCATACCAATCTATTTATTTTACTAAAAAAGGTTTCTAATAATTTTTAAGTTAACTATGGATGGGTTTAAATATAAATTCGTCATGCGTCGTCACTTGTTGTTTTTAACCAGTTTTATTGGTTTAATTCATCGTATTTCAATTTTATTTGTTTGACGGAACGATGAACGACAAACGGACGCCGATACGTATGAACTCGCCTTTAGATTTTTGACATTTGTCAAAGTCTTGCCAAATTATAGGTTATAATTTTGTGACAACTTTTGTCAAATACCCCGCGTTTTGGAAGATGATGCATTTTGATTCGTGTTATTACGTGTGTTTTGTGTCTTTTGAAGTCAAGTGGAGGAAAAATCGAGTGAAAATTAACTGTAGAACCCAGAGCACAGTTTATGGTTAATACTCGCTGCCCAGGCAGAAAGTCTTATACAGATACACCAATAAAGTTACTATCAATAAAGTTCGTATACCATCTCGTCTTAGATAATGCATCTCGAATATGGTAGAAGGACCATACTAAACACATACTAAAAACTGGAGCAGCTGTAAAATATCGACATCACACGATAGGTAAATAATGGATTTTAGTACTGCAGAAAAATAATGTCAAAATGTAGGTACTGGTTTAAAAAAATTAAGATTAAAGTTAATTAATCAATCTGTGAGGTATAAAATTTGGTTAGTGTTATTATTAATAAAATAGTTTGGTTTATTTATGTTGTTTTATTTATTCCTGCGGAATATTACAAATTTGTATTGGTACATAAGTTATATAATCATAAATGCGGGAAGTTTCATAAAGCTTGAAAGTAAGAAATAGTTCTTTTTTATATTTTCTGGTATGTGCTGTCTTGTTTTTGTTTGTTTTGTATTAACACATAGCGTTTTTTATTAAATAAAATAACTGGATTACATTTTTTCAGTTTTATACAGTTTTTTATACAATATTTTGAAGTTACTTGTCAGTCAAATTTTAAATACATATATTAATTTCCTGCTATGCGTTCCAGTTGTACCAACTTATTTCTTTGTAAAATAAAATAAACTACTTTGAAATTAAAATGACAGACACATCTATCACTGTCAAGGATCTCCTCGTTGGACAGACTATAGTAAAATAAATAGATTGATATCATGGATTGGTATGGACGTCATCTGCTTTTCTTCTATTATGGTCTGTCGAAATCTTACCTGAGAAAAAGAACAGAGTATAGTCGAACAGCACTAAAACCCATCAACTCAGTAACGATCAATTCCTTTGACTTTTAGGCTGAACAAATTTTTTCGACACGCAGATTTTTTCGTCCAAAAATTTTATAGACCAAAAAAACTATAATTTTTTTTCTCAAAAACGGTTAATGATATGTATAGAGTGTTTAACATCAATATTCATAGAATTTTACAGACAATTTAAGTATGTAATAAAGAATGGGGGCACTCATTTGGAATAAGAAAGTTGTTGTCAATGTGCCGCCATATTGAAAATTTTTATAATCGATAGATCTCGTTGTGAAACAATCAAGTGCAAAGAATCTCCAATCTAGATATTGTAGTTTGCCAGATACTTCTAATGCACGCTCTGCCTGGGAGACCCTGTATATTTTGACTTTTGCTGTAGCTTCTCTATATTTTGGATAAGTGTTTTCATATCAGTTTGTCACTGTTCAGTTTCAAAAGTTTAAATCATCTGTGGTATTAGTAGTAAGTATTTTCATTGTTTCATATTATTTTGCAGGGTGTAGCTGTTCGTCGATTTATGATGCTACAGCAAGTATTCAACTGAACGAGAACTTTGTAAAACTAATTTCATGGTATGATAACGAGTACGGGTATGCAAGTCGCTTGGCCGAATTTTTGGCATTCATACATGAAAAAGATCAAGAGGCGGCATGTGCCGAAAAAAAACAGCCAAAATGTAATTAATATTAATTATTAAAAGAAAAGCAAAAAATAAATTATATTTTTAAAATTTATATTTGTTTAGTATAGGCGTAATGCATATAAACTAAATGTATATGCGTAATGTGTAGTAACTAAATAAAAGAAGTAGTGACTTTACCCTGTAAAATAATTAAAAATTTTCACGATAAACACGCTGCTTCTGTCTAGAACTTCAGAGATCCATATAAACTAAAATTTTAATTTTGAAAATTTTGATTTCTACACATACTACGATACTCTTTTTAATGAACCATATGGCTGTATTTTCCGTAAATCAATTGCGTATTTATAATGGAATAGTTTTTTTTTAAATTATGAATCTAAAATGCCGCTATACTATTTTTTAACTGTCTGTGAGCTATAAGATTTAAGATAGTGTACTTGAAAGGAATAACGAATTATTTGCAAAATCCCCTAATACATTATTTATAGAAGTATTTTGTTTTGTTTGTGGACAGACGCAATTTGATTCATATATTTGGGTTTGGTTCTTGGCTGTATAAGCCAAGAAAGGACAAATAATAAAATTTGAAGATTGTATTTAAAAGAGTTTTACTAATATAATTCATTTAATACCGAATGATCGAAAAAAAACGCCGTACAGTTGGCTTGAAAATGAACATGGATGACATTCCTCATATAATATAAAATGACAGCGATCTTCATTTCATAGCCGTTTTTTTTCGCTCATATTGTATTTGTTTATTCATTTATTAATTAAATATAATTTATCTCACTAAAAACGTACCGGGTGGACAACTAAGAATGGACGCCGGCTGTATCTACTTAAATGACATGAAAATGAAACTAAAGTGTACGTTTTGATTTTTTGACGTACGTAACCAATTTACTTATTTTTGTTTCCTAGCCTACTACTATAATACTTCGATCTTATAATCCTAGGCAGCAGCCTAAATGATTTGTTCTAATAATATCTCCCGTTAGAGAGAAGATAAAAAGATAGATTATTGTTGAGGTTTGCGCTGATATTTTTGGAAATTTTGCGCTCTATTTAACTGTGCAAAAAGAAACATAACCTCCTGTTTAATTTTTTTAAGCAAAAGCGCAATATCTGTTATGATGCCAAACCACGCCCTGTAGCTACCACGAAAAAACTCATAGAAATAAAATTTATACTGGAAATTATTAGGAAAGAAAAGCTCTTTTAAACGAGCTCTAGTTTGTTAAAATCGGCTAATAATAAATTTGCTTAAATCTAAATCAGAGGTTGCCAAGAGGATCATCTTAAGCTAGGGTTGCCAACTTTCAAAATAAAAAATAGAGGACAAGAGGTTAAAAAAGAGGCACAGGCAAAACAGATTTTTTGAAACTTCGTCCAAATGTCTGGAATTTACCAAAAAGTTATGTCAAAGGTATGCGATTGATAATCTTTCTTACTTTCTTAAAAATATTTATACTCAAAACTTTTTAAATTAAAACAAATCATTTTCAACAAAACTTTTCTTTCAAAACATAGGCTAACAGTAAGTAAACATAAAATAGTTAAACATATTGCTTGGTTTATCGCTTCCAGAAATAGTTCTTGTATATAAATATTTCTTCATTTTCTTTTCAAAAGACACAAATTAACAATTTTTTAAAAAATTCTGGCAAAGAGACGAATATTTTTTAGGTTTTGAGTTTGTCATGTAAAAGAGGACTACCACTCAATACGTGAGAGAAAAGAGGACATTGAGATCAAATAGAGGACTGTCCTCTGGAATAGAGGACGTTTGGCAACCCTAGCTTAAGCCCCCAAAGCTCGTTCCTTTCTTTTATTTTTAGCATCTAATTTTTACAATACAGTAGGGCAGTAGGGATCTACGGCGCTCAAGTAAATCCCCATTTAGCATCTCGGGCTCCCCGACTACTACTTGATATTGAAGAAATAAATACTCTTTCACATAAAAGTACACTTTGTTTATTTTTATCCAGTTTTAGTCATATCTTTTTCTTAAAAAGCAAAAAAAAATTACTAAAAAACATTATTTTAAATTCAGTACACTAAATCATTATTTTACATAAATTTCAAGGACATTCTTAGGTGATTTAAATGTAAGGAATTTGTGTTTTCCACATTTATGATTCACTTCGAGTATAAATATCAACGAAGCACCGAGGGAACATTTTTTTCATTAAACAGATGATCAAAAAGGCAGTATCCATTATTTGTTTGAGCATTTTGTTTTAATTTGGCCTCTTGGCCTATTTTTTATGCAAACGAAAATTTTTCACTATAGTAACTAATTTACGTCACAAATATAAATTGAAAATAGAATACTAAAAATTATTAAACTATTAGTTAATTGACCACAGGCTTCAAAAGTAACAAGTAAAACATTTTGTATAATTAAGTGTTAAATTAATTATTTAGAGCTGTTATAGAATTTTCGAATTTATAACTAAGTATACTGTAAACGGATGCATTATTTAATGAAAATTTAATCTTAAATAGTGCTTGAAATATTTTTTTCTAAAATGAAATTTTTGAAAACCGCAAGATTATTATTTGAGATGTTTGTTTAATTATTATTATCTACTAATTATAGTTATTATTGACGTAAGTTTTTAAAAACATATTAATAGATTGTAATTTAAAATATATCTATTATCTCCTATGCAATATTTTTTAAATATTTTAACTGCATATTAAATGCATGGAATTATTCGGCGTATTTAGTTAATTATATTTTTATGGTTTATGGTATGGTCAGGGGCGGATTAGTCTACAGTAGGGCATTCAATCCCGGGATCCGGTTTTCCGGGATCCCGGGATCCCGGACATTTTTTCAATCCCGAAATCCCGGGATTGTCTTTTCTTTAATCCCGGGATTTTCGGGATTCATCATTACATTTTTTCCTTAATTTAAATCGTACACAAGTCTTTCATGATAGTACAATATGCGCTTATAAACAACCCTGAATGTTTGATCAAGTTTGAAGATGACGAAGATCTAGTTTGAGTGATAATACTCTTGATCGCCTTGTTTTTTTTAAGAAATTTTTTCAAAAACCAAAAAAACCAAGTCTAGATCCTCATCTTTGTTACTGCATAAGTTGTTATTTGAGTATCTCTTATTTTATTTAAATTAAATAAAAAATCTATATTTTAGTTCCTTTTATGTTTTTTTGTTAAATAAACTTATATGTTATGTTGTTTTGTAATGGAGATGACGTTTAATTTATGTTAATGTTTTTTTTTGTTCAATGAAATTTTGTAAAGAAAGAAAATATAATATAATTCCAACGTAATTAATTTTTTCGTGAATCCCGGGACCAATCCCGGGATCCCAGGATCGAAAAATTATAATCCCGAAATCCCGGGATTGAAAATTTCTTTCGGGATTGAATGCCCTAGTCTACAGTGACCCGAGCAACGGCCTAGCTACGTTGAAACACCGGTTTCCATTAGAACACCGAAGTTAAGCGACGTAAGGCGATACTGGTGGATGGAAACTGTTCAAAACTCTGTATCGTGCTGTTATTCAAGGGAAAAATGTAAAATCTATTGACACACACTGCTCATTCACGCCGGTTTGAGGCCGGATGAGATCGGATATCTCGTGAGTAAGAGTTGATTTAGACACTTCCTAAGTCGGTAGGCTTAGGACCATGACGGTTGGCAATTGACCATGATATGGCCGAGTACCGCGGTTCGGATTCCGCGTAAACAAAGTAGCAAACAAGCAAAAAGGAGACGTTAACTGAAATCTTTACTTTACTTCCTACAGTGACCCGTGCAGGTACATGTTATAAACTAATAATATAAATAAGTCGTTTAATGTATAATTCTATTACAGCTTGATTTTCATGCATCCGTTACCGTTGATACTGTTATCCTCTGATTGGACATAGCGTTTTCGCGCCTCTTTTCATCCGTAATTTTTTTACTCCAGCCCGTCAACGGAGATAGATCGTATGATAACGGACGTTTTGGCACTTTTTTGAAAAATTTAATCTAACCTTTTATTTTACACTGGACGCGCGTTTCGCTAACCATGTTAGCATCATCAGCAGATGATTATAAACTCCAGTTTATAATCATCTGCTGATGATGCTAACATGGTTAGCGAAACGCGCGTCCAGGGTAAAATAAAAGTGTTTTGGTGTATTGTGGTGATTTAGTGTTTCTAACCTTAATAAAAATATAATAGTACAGGCGCTAGCAAGGTCAGAAAAACGATAATTTTAAGAAAGCTGGTTCTTTAATATATCTTTTTCTATGCTCTCCGGACCAAAGTGCGGGCCGTCTGCCTGCCTGTAGACCACTGCGGTTGACTACTGCTTATCACATCTGTACAGGGTATTCCATTTTCGTGAGTTATGGGATTTCTCGTTTATAAGTAGAGAATACATGATACGATTTTTACATTGCTTTGCTACTTTTTTATGAAACTAAATATGCTATACATATGTATGTCCTAGCTTCCTTAGCTCCTGAAACACAGGGCGAATTTATAATGCGCAGTAGTGCAGAACAGATGTTGAATACAGATATGATGCGCAGTAGTAAACGCAACGTCTACCGGAAGCCATACGGCCCGCACTCAAGAGCATAACAAGATATATTAAAGAACCAGCTATCTTAAAATTTCCTCTCGAAAACGTTGCTAGCTCTTAGGTTATAAGAAAATATAATATGACACCAATCACAAGCAAATCGTACATCCGATGAACGGAGGCATGAAAATGCAATAAATTTAAAAACTGCGTAAATTTCTAACCAATCGAAATCTTTAAATTCAACCAATAAAATTAACATCGTATCGTCGCATAACGGATATATTAAAATCAAGCTCAACTCCACTTTTGAAAAATCTTAAATTTATGTGTAAAACCGTTTGGTATACAGGGTGGCGCACCTCATTCGCCTCGGTTGATTATACGAAAACGAAAAGATGTAGAAACAAAATATTTTATGGGTATATGTGGGAAGGCAATGTGCACAATTTAAAATTATTTTGAAATATACAGGAAATTTGAAATATTTAATATTTGAAATATACAAATATACTCAGAACTAGGATCCA